TGCCCAGGCTAGAGTGCAGTGGTGCGATCTTGGCTTACTACAACCTCTGCCTCCCTAGTTCAAGCGATTTTCATGCCTCAGCCTCCTGAGTAGCTGGGATTACAGGCATGTGCCACCATGCCCCGCTTTTTTTTTTTTTTTTTTTTTTTTAGTAGAGATGGGGTTTAACCGTTTTGGCCAGGCTGGTATCAGTCTGCTAGCCTCAAGTGATCCACCCACCTCAGCCTCCCAAAGTGCTGATATTACAGGTGTGAGCCACCGTGCCTGGCCAGTAGTAACAAATTAATGAACATGGTGACTGTTTTGCTTATGAACAATGGATAGAATTTTTTGACTCTATATATGATTACAGATAACTTGAAGTTTCTAATGGCATGTTCTTTGCAAACAGAACAGGTTTTTATTAGTAATTATTTGCCTTTCCCCTGTAATGAAAATGATCACAATAAAATTTACTTTGTATCATACTGAAATAGTACTCTTCTGCTGTTGACATTTGCTTGGTTAAACCTTATATCTCCACTGTATTTGAGATGATAGTATTATTGTACATTGCTAGAAGAGTTTCAGCCAGTCTAGACAGTTAAAGAGTGTGTCTTTCTTCCTTGAAAAATATTATCTAAGAACCTCCTCGATTCGTAACAGCACACATAGAGATTTATGGCTTTAGCTGGCCAAATGAATGTTGCTTCAGCCTGTGATTTGTGGTCTAGTGAACAACCGCAGAGCGTGTCCTTAACAATTGATTGACCTTTTGCATAGCTTATTTTGGGCCTTACCAAGATCATCTTAAATTGGAAAACAACAACAAAAACTCCACCAATACTTATGTATTATTATTTGTTTGGGAAATGATCCTATTAAGAAAGTGGTGTCCTGTGCTAATTTCAGAAGAAGTTATTCTTCCTTAAAGACTTAATTTTGTAACTGTAGTTTGAGTCTCACCTCAACAAAAGACTTCAGCTGCTACCAAGAAATTGTCACACAAATTTCTAAATATATGAGCGTAGAAATTTACAAAACTTTAGCATGCTTTGAGAACACAAATTTTGTCCCAAATCAGAGTTTCTCTCTGCATAAACAGCTGATACTGAAGTTATGCTGAGTTTTAAAAATAGAAATCCAGTAAGAGAAGACAATTAGTAGAGAAATGTTTTAAATTACTTGCTGTGGGAGGTGGAGGGGTGCCCTAGGAGTGGAGGACAGAGACATTCCAGATGCCGAAGGGTCTTGATGCATTCCATGTCACCCTGAGCATCAGAAAAAGCAAAGCTCTTGTTCTAACAATGCATAATGTTTTAGAACTTACTTCTATTTTAAATGTAAAAATAGCATATGTTCTTGGTAAAATAAAAATTTGCATTGTATAGAAGTTTGTAAGTTCAAAAAAAACAACTGTCCCTTCTGCTATCCAAAAGTAGCCATTGTTAAGTTTTATTTATATTTCTGGAAATGTTTTTGTATAGTACATACACATTTTTTCCTACAGATGGGAAAGATGATACTCTGAAACATTCTGTCCCCAGCAATATATTTGCTTTTTTTTCCTTTATTGTATGTGAGATAGTATCTTGCTATGTCACCCTGGCTGGTGAACTTCTAGGCGCAAGCAATCCTCCCACCTCAGCCTCCTGAGTAGCTAGGGCTACAGGCATGTGTCAACAAGCCTGGCTAATTGTCGTGTGTGTGTGTGTATGTGTGTGTTTAGAGAGATGGGGTCTTGCTGTGTTGTCCAGGCTGATCTTGAACTCCAGGCTTCAAGGGATCCTCCCACCTTGGTTTCCCAAAGTGCCAGGATTACAGTGTGAGCCACTGCACCCAGCCCCTCTCTATAGATTTGCTCCCCTTTGGTATACTCTGCTAATTCAAACAGCACTGTAGTGGAAAATTTTCATGATTATATATCTGTGCAAGTGTGAACATGTAATTACAGGCTAAATTCCTGAACGTAAACTTACAGCATCAAAGGCTATATGGATTTTAAATGTGAACAGTTACTACCAAAATTTACTTCCAGATTGGTTGCTATGATGTTTACAGTTCCAGTTCCAAGGACACGGAATGGCCATAACTGGAGACTCTGGAACAGTATCATTATCATCAGAGCTAGCATTTATTGAGCATGTTTTGTGTGTACACTTCCCAGTGCTTGCTTTATATGTATTAACTTTTTAAGTTCTCACAAATATGGTGTGAGGAGGGAGGCACCTATTTTACAGATAAAGAAACTAAAACTGAGTCACAAAGAGGTTACTTAAAAGCAACATAGCTAGTGAGTGACTTAGGATTCAAGTGCTACTGGTGGTGAGAGAAGTGGATCACAGTCATCTTGGAGGTGATAGAGATGATAGTGAAGTCCTCTGTGAGCGAGAGAACTAAGAAACAATGCAAAATTCATTCTTATGGGCAAAGTGATGTTGAGAAAAATAAATGCATCCTTGTACATTTAAAGAGGATGGGAAAGGATCTTTTAGAATTTTTTCCTAGCCACTGACCAGAAATTTGGAATGAAAAATGTGCTATTTGGAAATGAGGTGAAACTAGAAAGACAGTATATTTGTTTATATTTTAAAAGAGTTGGATATTAAAAAAAAAAAAAAAACATTGTTCTTGAAGGTACTTTGTACTGTACAAGTCCTCTTTTCTAGCAAAAGGCTCTCCCATCCACAGAATTTGGGATAATGGGAACAAAGTATACAATCTAGAAAAGAGATTAAAACAGTAGTCAGTGCGGACTGAGAGCAAAGGCAAAGTATCAAGGTGCATTGCATCCAGCAGGAAATCTTGTCCATGAATATTTTCTTATAGGTGTCTCTCAACCTCCTAAGGAAACAGGGAGAGTTGGATTACAGAAATAATAAAATTAGTGTTCAGATCCCCCCGTATCCTCTGGCCAGAGAACAATTGCATTCATCTTCTCCTGGCTTATGCTTCTACAGAGCTATAGACACTTGACAGCCTCACAAAGTAGGAGGAGAGAGAGTTTGGTTCAGAGATGGGAGTTTCACATGCTCCTGCAGCACACACATGCATGCAGGGACCAGTATTGCACAGGGGAAACTGGAGATGCCTTGCCCAAATGAAGAACTCTGAGGATCACCCCGCAGTGATAGGAGTTAGTATATTTAGAAGAAACTTTCACATACTTTAGCTTGTTTGGTTTTCTCAGAGCAGATGCATGTGAAATAAAAATGAAGCTTTCTTCCTCTTATTTTGAGGACAGTATCTACGTGTGCTATTAATCTATTTGCATCATTAAAGCATTTCCTAACTGTAAAGATTTCTCTCAATGTACCAATCTTCAGTTTCAAGAATGATCTCTGTTCTGTAACTGTTAAATATTAAGCTTACAACAAACAGGCTCTTGTGGACCTCAGACAAGGGCCTTGATTTTGTTTTAGTTTTGGAAATTTGCCCTACTTTGGGGAGATGGAGAGATCTGGCACCTTCTACTTCGTTTTATAGGTTCAAATACCATTGAATATCACTGTGAGTTTTGGCTTGTTAAATACATTGGTGAGAGTGGGGTTTTGCTAATTTGGATATTCCCTTTTAAGAGAAAAGAAAGGTTTAGCATTTATACTACCACTCTAGCTATTTTATTAACATGTTAAATTATAATCAAGGCCTGTTTCTAAAGACTCATCAGATTTCCTAAACGTTTTGAAACTATGGGAGTGTAATCCAGTCTGACTTCAAAGCCTCTGCTGCAGCCTTAGTCCCCATCATCTGGCTTGTTCAATCTCCAGATGAAATTCACACGACTGCCTGGGTTGAGGTATCAGTTACTGCCAGCTTTTAAGGCACTGTAAGCAACAGTTACTTTACCCCCTTGTTGTGACTACTTAAAAAATCATTTTGAAATTACGTTTCTTTTAATCCACCTGTGTAGACCTGTCTGGAAAGATTTGCTTACAAAAAGTTTTTTTTTTTTTCTTTTAGGTATAACATGGGACTGAAATTAAATGCCCCACCTTGAAACCACTCTCCTGAGGGTTGGGATTCTGACATCAGGATATAGAGCTCTACTAAGAGTTGTTAAAACATAATAGGTAGTCACTACTTCATTATAAGACAGTAGCTGTGTGTGTGTACATGGTACAGCATCTTCTCCACTGGGATGGGATATCAATTGTATTCAGGTGCTCTTTGAATGTGAAGCTAAAGAACCAAAATTGTCCTTTTTAGGTCTGTTTGATCACACAAGTAACTTACACCCACATAGATGTGTAAACATGCATAGACATTCCTTACCACAGTGTCATCTTCTGCTGGGCTCAGTGCTCAGGTGGAGCAGAGGCCACAGCCAACTGATAACTGATTTTTTTTTTTTTTTTTTTGAGATTTGACTTGAGGTTGACACAGATCTCCCATCCACAGAAGCCCAGGGGGCTTAGGGGCTAGCTCCAGGTCACCCTGTTCTATAAGAGGCAAGACTGGCTGAGACAGTTTAGGAGTAGGTGCTTGAATTCGTTGGATTTCAGTTCTTTTCCACTGAGTTCTTTTCTATCAAAACTACTGAGCTGTCACAGCATGAGGGCCGTGCCTGGGACTAATGTGAGTTCATTTTACTACCTTCCATTCAGTGTCAGTCTTTAGTCTTCTGCCTCTTCATCTGAAGCAGCACTTAATTTTTGCCACATCATGTGAAACCCTTCTTCAAGTTTTTATTGTCTGCTGGAGTCTGAATATACTAACTGAAAAAGTCTGGTAAACAACTGGCTGAATCCTATGGTCACTTTTAAGGCAAGTTTCCTTCTCTCATGGATTCCATCCAGATGTGTAGTCTAACAGAGCTGTCCAGTGTAACATAGCCCCCTGAAGAAATAACAGCTTTACACCACTTAAATTATTCTTGATCCATGCTTCGGAAAATGTCCCCTTATCACACCTAACTCAGACTTCAGCACTCCCTGTGGAAATTGAGCTGGGAAGAACACCCTAGTCAAGTAGGCAGTCTGATCATTTAAAGCCAACATTTGAAAATAAATATGTCCTACCTTCATGTCTTCTAAAGGCTTGAATGGGTCATTGTCCAAGTGCTCTGGAAGTCGGATTGTTTCTAGGTGCTATGTGTGTATGCTGGGTGATATGTCACTTTCCCCCGCTTTTTAGGAACAAGAAGAAAACAAGGGAGCTACAAGTTGGCCTGAATTCTACATTGATCAGCTCAATTCCATGGCTGCTGTAAGTAGACTTTTATGTTCTTTGACATGCTGTTTAAATGCAAGCATAGTACAAAGTACACAGTTGCACAATAAATTCGATTGAGTATGACCTATCAAATGTCATTACCTTTCCATCCTAAACATTCAATGCTGAAGAAGGGAAAGGGGGTAGGAGGGGTACTTGGCAAAGTGATTTTTCCAGTATGTTTTACATAAAATCAGCACACACTAAAATATAATTGAGTTTAATGTTGTAAGTGGAAATGTAGTCTGAAATCTGGCTTGTGTTCAACTTTAACTTGCAATTGCTCTTACCAGTCACTCAGAGCTTTGTTATGGCAGTACTATTTTAAAAGTTAATACCATTTTTAATGATATGATTAAGCGATTTCTTTAGTATATTCCTCCCATTCTCTTTCTTACTGAGAACTTGGTTATTCCCTGGCTTCTTGATTTTACAGGGGACCAAGTGCTCTTTTACTCATATAATAGGTCAGGAATTCATTAAGTGGTTTAATGAAAAGGCATCATAAAAATATTGCTGAGATGTCCTTGGAAAATCTTTAGTACAGGGATTTTGGGTTCAGTAATTGCTTAAAATATATTCTTAGTGTGTAAAATATGAATTCTGATTGCAGGATGCCTGTGATGTCAGCATTGCCAGAAGCTTTGGGTACCTATTCATCACAGCTAAAATTCACAGCAGAAAATAAGTTATCAGCCTTTGAGCCTCTGTAGCTTAAATCTCATTATGGTTCATAAGAATTGGAGCTTGCCCGCAGTGGAATGCAGTCTTTCTCAGTGGGCACACTCCTGACTTTAAGAGTCAATCTGTTGTATTCAATTTTGTGTTTATAACATGCAAATAGATGATAGCTTCTAGAGTACTTTCCTCTACCTCCTTCCTGCCCTCTCTCTTTATGGAGAATACATTTCTTATCACTCAAACATTTTAAATGGTCTCACAACATTTTCCTCCTGCTGGAATAGTTAAAACTGATTAGAATATGTGAGTCATTCACACATTTACCAACTTTTAGAGGTCTTGACTTTTAGTAACTTCCTCTTTTTTAGCTTTTTTTCTTAGAAGATGCTTCTTTTGCTGTCATACAATGAATAATAAACAGCCTGGTTATTATGAACAGGGCTGTATAAATTATAGAAGAAACTATGTAAGTTTTTTCCCAAGAATTTCAAGTCTAAAAGCATAGCAGAAATGAACAGAAAATGACCACCAAATCTTTCTTCTTCAAAGCATCTCACACAATGCCACAGATGAGAAAAGGGTGTTCTCAGCATTTGTATGAATATGCTAACAGAGCATAAGATTTGTGATGACCACCAGGGATTTTCTGTACATCTGCCTAAGCAATAATAATTTGGAGCCATTTATATTTCCTGCATGGAAAGGCAATTTTCTAAATTCTTGCTCCTGGCTATTAGGAAAAAAAAGAATAGTTTCTCCTTCTAATTAAATCTGCATTGTTTGATATCCAACGAGAAGTTGCTTTTTTTAATGAATTCTTTTCTATAAATGGAGAAATACTAAGTACTATGTGGATTTTTTCTTTCTTCAAGTATAGGACAGTTAGACTAATTTGTCCTTTAGCGACATAATCCCTGCCTTGTCTGGAGTAGACCTGGTTCATTTGTGTCTCCTGCAGGACCAGTGATGTGCCAACATGTGGGTGGCCCTTCTCTAGGAGCCTCCTCTCTCCTCCATCCAGTTCCTTGGACAATTCTTTGCCACATTCTTGAGTGATCTACGTTTTAACTGCTGTGTGTTTGGTTCCTAATCCAAAATCCTTCCCAAGAGCACCACAAGTCTATTAAATTGTCAGTGATTTTGCTGTTCTTTTTGTGTCAAACACCTAAGAAAACTTTCTAATGTTCCTTTTAGGACTGAGGCAGCATCTTTGCAGGGTCAAAGGTAAAAGGTATTAATAGTCCATGAATTAATGAGGCCTCGAAAATCCTGCATACTTCAGGGAATAAGGAGATCTGATGAGACCCGAAACCCTGTGCTGGGTTTTCTGTTTTTCTCAACATTGTGATAGCCACCACCTTCTTGCATAGTTCTGGCTAATCCCTCTGATGTCCATACTGGAGAATTCTTGATAACACACAGCAGAAATCCTGAGATATAGTCTCTGGACAGTAGAAAGGTACACAAGTCCTCCAAATCCTTTCACGTCCCAGCAGCTAGACTCTTTGGTTCTCTGCTTAGGGCATTCTTGAAGGGGCGTTTTTCCATGTTGTCATCACCCATTGTAGAATCGGCAGTAACTACTGCTTTGGAGTGTGCCTCACATGACAGGCAGGATAACAGGCACTTTACATGTTTGAGATCCCACCAGCATCTTATGCTGTAAGTGCTATTTATACATAAGGAGTCTGAGACTCCAGAAAGGTTACCTTGTCCAAGGTTATCTAATTAGGAGGTGGTCATCTAATTGGGAATTTAAACCTATCAGTCTGAGCCCAAAGGCTCCTTTCCAATTTGCCTCTCACTAACTCAGTTTTTGAAACCCTATGGCATGTTAAAGAGGCCTGGTTATCCCACCTTCTCCCCACCTGCAGGCCTAGCAAGACTGACTTTTCTGAGATGGGACAGGCATCTGTTTTCTTTAATGCCTCAAGAGTCTGATAAACAGTCCAGGTTGAGAACTGCGCACTTACTAGTCTGTGAAGCCAGCCTTTTGTGGAACAAGTTCAGTTACTTTATGTAAGCCTCATTACAAGAATGCTTTGTTCTTTAAAGGACCCCTGAATGATCTGTTGACTTTTAAAGACTGAAAAATAGTATAATAAAAGTGCAGCCTAACAGGTTTGAGAAGGACCTGGGCTTTCTTTTTATGTGGCTTCTCCATGCTTTCTTAAGGAAGAAGACTGCAAGGTGAAGTTCAGTATGCTTAGTGGGCTGGCTTATTGATTTCCCACCAAAGAAATGTTTCAATCAGGAGCTAAGTTCCAGACTCCCAGCAGGAATGATTTCTGGGCCACATTTGGTCATATCTGTCAGACCCACATGTTCCAATGTATACCTTAGCAGCTTTAACAGAAAGATCCTCTGCAAGGATGTACTTTGTCCTTTGCCTGCTTCTCATGTGAGCAGGTATTGAGTAAGCACATAGAGCAATCAAAGAAGCTTCCACAAAGCCTGTACATACTAGATATTTGGCATAGTAGTCACCTTCAGAAATGTAGGCATCTCCCTTAACTACTAAAAGTTGCAAATTAGGCCGGGCGCGGTGGCTCACGCCTATAATCCCAGCACTTTGGGAGGCCGAGGCAGGTGGATCACAAGGTCAAGAGATCGAGATCATCCTGGTCAACAAGGTGAAACCCCATCTCTACTAAAAATACAAAAATTAGCTGGGCATGGTGGTACGCGCCTGTAGTCCCAGCTACTCGGGAGGCTGAGGCAGGAGAATGGCCTGAACCCAGGAGGCAGAGGTTGCAGTGAGCCAAGATAGCATCATTGCACTCCAGCCTGGGTAACAAGAGCGAAACTCCGTCTCAAAAAAAAAAAAGTTGCAAATTAAACCTTCTTCCCAAATGTGTGACTTGAAAACTTGAAACTTCATATAAATTATTTTGTTTTGAAAAGTCACATTTAGAACAAGTTCAGCTATATGTCCTCAGTTACGTCAACGCAATAAATATAATCTCAGACCCAAGTCTAAATATATCACACATAGAAAATGTTGTAGTCTCTTCTGTTTTGAGAGAAAGGTTATATGTTCCTTTTACAGTATTGGGAAAGGAAGTTCCAATTTAATTTCCTTTGACATTTCATGAATCTCTCAACTCTAGTATGGAGAGACTTAATATAGTCTGCTGCTATTCAAATGTGCCACCCTCTCCAAAATTTCTAAAAGGATAAATATATGCATTTTTATTTGTACTTATGGCCCACAATAAAATGTGTAGTCTTTAATTTGGGGATAGAGTTGTGCCATTAAGCTTAGGAACAAGGAATGATATTCATGAAAGGCTTGATTCTTAGCTACAGATTCCAAGTGATTGCATAAGAGTCCAAATGAGTTCAGCTGTGTCATTGGAGATTAAACGTTCTTGGCTGGATTTGTGTGAATTTTCCAGGGGATGGGTCTCAGGGAGCTTTGGGGAATTCATTGGCTGTTTCTGCACACAGCTTCCTTCCTCATCATCCCCTGGTGACAGCTGTCCAGGATCATCACCAGCAAGAGGACAACTTTAGCAGAAACAATAACAGTGTTGGTTTTTATTTCAGTTGCCGTACATTATACTGATGTATTATATTTATTTTGCTTTGAGCTTTACGCTTCTCATTATGAAATCATGTTTAGGTGTTAGTTAGCATTTAGTTACTTAATGCTGACACTATTGATTGTCACCCTTGATGATTTATGGTCCTGGAAGAAAAGCTGTGACTGGATCATTGAGACCCACGGATAGGAGTCAGGCTTTTCTTTTTCAGTACAGTCACCCCAGTGTATTTCCTAGCCAAGCATTTCTGTCAGAATTTGTAACAGGTAAAAAGATTGAAACTAGACAAGCATGTGTTCAGAATAGGATGAAGAACAGGGACTGGGAGCTCCATGGTGGAGGTTCCTGGAGTCATCAGATTGGGGGTACTGTAGGACAACCAGGTGATCGCTGAATGAAAGGGAATGGAAAGGACTAGACACCTTACTGGCATTCATGATTTTATAATCGTGAATTATTACTGCAGTCTTACATAAAACCTTGCTCTCGCGGCATCAGCATTGCCTAGAAATGTGTCAAGAATGCAGCATCTCAAACCTCACCTCAAACCAGGCTCAAACCAGACATACCAAACCAGGCTCCACATTTTAAGACTATCCTCACGTGATTTTCAAATCCACATTAAAGTTTGAGAAGGACTGCTCTAGCAGATCCCTGTGTAGAAACACACACACACACACACACACACTCTCACACACACACACACACTCACACTCACACTCTGATTTCTAAATGATGGTGAATCATTTCTAGAAGTTAAGCCTTTACTCTGAAGGAATTGTCTATCCTAGTAATAGCTCCAATTTAATTGTTCTTCTTAAAAAATAATTTGATGTAACAAAATCCCTTTGGTCTTGATTACACTTTTTGGCTGAGGAATAGGGATGGTAGTGTGGGAGGACTGCTGCCCACCTCCTCTTTTTGATAATGTGATAATTTCTCAGACTCTGGGACTTGAGATTTGCAGAACTTGAAATTGTGACCTTGCATCCTACACGTCATATATCTCCCATCTTTTGAACCCACCAAATTGGGTGTTCCCTGAAAATTTTACAGCTTGCCATTCTTGAATTAGGATCAATATGAATAATTTTTCATGTTTCACTATATTACTCAGATGTAATTGCCAGAACATTGTATTCAACTACAGGTTCAATCTTATTTCTATCAAATACAAATAGTAATATCTATATCAAAGTGTAATTGTAGAATAGTTATACAAACATTTGGGCAACATAGTCTCTACTAAGATTTCTAAACTTTTCCTTAAAGCTTTATTTAGAATTTGAAGGACCTAGCTTACTTGATTATAGATTTATTATTTATATTTAAAGTGATGGTAACAAATAATCTTAGGTTTGTCTTGCTTGTACTGTAATTAAAAAATAGAATTTGAAGAAGTGACTTCTGTTTTCTTTGTACAGAGAAAATCTCTGCTGGCCTTAGAGAAGGAAGAAGAAGAAGAGAGAAGTAAAACTATAGAGAGTTTGAAGACAGCACTGAGGACAAAACCAATGAGGTAATTTTCCCTGGTTAGCATGGTTTTTTTCTCTCCTTTTTCCCTCCTTTTTTCTGCAATAGTCAAACCTTCTATTAAGTCTTAAGTTAAAACCATAAAATTAAACCATGAGTAACATATTTTAATCATTAACATTTAATAAAATTATTTTCTTTTTTTTTTTTTTTTTTGAGACAGAGTTTCGCTCTTGTTAGCCAGGTTGGAGTGCAATGGCACGATCTTGGCTCACCGCAACCTCCACCTCCTGGGTTCAGGCAATTCTCCTGCCTCAGCCTCCTGAGTAGCTGGGATTACAGGCACGCGCCACCATGTCCAGCTAATTTTTTGTATTTTTAGTAGAGACGGGGTTTCACCATGTTGACCAGGATGGTCTTCGATCTCTTGACCTTGTAATCCACCCGCCTTGGCCTCCGAAAGTGCTGGGATTACAGGTGTGAGCCACTGCGCCCGGCCAATAAAACTATTTTCTTCTGTTCAAAGGTATACAGGCCGCCACTAGGATGGCTAAAATAAAAAAGACAGAGACTTTAACAATGGCAAGTTAGTAGGCAGGAATGTAGAAATATTGGAACCCTATTCATTGCTGCTAGGAACATAAAATGGTGAAGCCACTTTGGAAAGGATTTTAACAGTTTCTCAGAATTTTAAATATAGTGTTGCCATATGACTCAGTAATTATACTTCTAAGAATATAGCCAAGGGAAATGAAGACATGTCCCCCAAAAACATGTATGCAAATGTTCATATCATTATTCATGATAGCCAAGAAGTGAAAACAACCATATATCCATCAGCCAATGAAATGATAAATTAAATGTTATATATCCACAAAATTGAATATAATTTGGCTACAAAAAAAGGAATGGAGTGCTGATACATGTTGCAACATGAAATAACCTTGAAATATACTAAGTGGAAGAAGCCAGTAACAAAGGAGATCACATACTGTATGATTCTATTTCTATGAAATGCCCGGAATAGGCCAATCCATAGAAACAGAAAGTAGATTAGTGGTTGCCAGGAGCTGAGGAAGTGGGGAAAATGTTCTCTTTGGGTGATTAAACTCTTCTAAAATTAGATAGTGTTGATGGTCACACAGCTCTGTGAATATACTAAAAACTACTGAATCGTACAATTTAAAAGGGTGAATTTTATGGCATGTGAATTATTTCTCAATACAACTAATTTTTTTAAGATGGGTAGACTTTCTGGCAATAGTGATTCATTTCCTCTCTGATAATCAGCTTCTATGGTGTGCCTCCTGCACTTTCATTTTTCTTTAATGCCTGTAGGATTTGGTGAGGTGTTGAGGTTCTTATATGTACATTTCATGAGCACAGGTGCTATGAATGAAGCCAGCTGGTTTAATGAGCTTGGCTATAGCTGGGTCATGTGGTTGGGTGAAAAGCCTAGAAAATAAAGATTCCCTTTCTTTATTTGACTATAAAATGAAAACTTAGAAAAGCCTGATTCATTAAAAATGTTGTGTAGTTATATGACTGAGCTCTAGACTATCCTGTCACCGTTTCTCTCAGTGTGTTCTGCATTCTCAGATGTTAATCAATATCCAAGGCTAATAAGTTTGGAAAATTTATCACATAAACAGATTATGTTACTTCTGAGCTTTTCAGTGGCTATGTACATGTGTATTGTGAGTTATTCTCATTGATTAGCTTAACATTAAGTGTAAGAAATATTAATAAAGTTAATATACAACAAAGTATTGCTTTATTATTGTATTCCATGTATATGGAATAATGAGATTCCATGTAGCATGTCAAACAAGAGAATAGTTTTTTAATAAAATTTTTGGGATATAGATTATCATTTGTTTGACAAGCAAATATTTTGGAATGTAAGGAAGCTCTTGACTTTCATTAATAGGGCGTTTAGGTCAGTGATCAGCACTTAAAAGTGCATTAGCAGTCAACATAAAAGCGCATGGCTGGACGTTGTCACTCACTATACCAGCTACTTGGGAGGCTGAGACAGGAGGTTTGCTTGAGGCCAGGAGTTCAAGACCAGTCTGGGGAAAATAGCAAGCTACTCGGGAGGCTGGGATGGAAGGATCACTTGAGCTCAGGAGTTCGAGGCTGCAGTGAGCTATGGCAGAGCAAGACCCTGTCTCTCTTAAAAACAAAACGGGGGATGGGTGGGGTATTGGAACTGGAACTGTATGCTAAATAACACAGGATCTGCAAATGATTTTAACCTAAGACAAGATATGTATTCTGAGTATTCTCTTGCTTTTTTATAAGCATGTGATCTGTTACTTGGTTCTTTGTTCTTGTTGAGATGTGTTTTGCACAAATGGAGGGTTTTGTTTTTTCACACTTTTGGTTAGACCTGACCGTTGGGTCTGTGCTGAGGAAGAGGCAGAGCATTAAAAAGACTTCATCAGTGTAAGCCTTTTGGCACTTCAGGAACTAAATTTTACTTTCCCCCACCCTCCAGACTTTTCTATTAGGGGCTATTATAAAACCCCAAAGGGACTTAAGTGTGGTGTACTTCTCTTCACAACAGGTTTGTAACCAGATTCATCGACTTGGATGGCCTGTCATGTATCCTCAACTTTCTAAAGACCATGGACTATGAGACATCAGAGTCTCGAATACATACTTCTCTCATTGGCTGCATAAAGGCACTAATGAACAACTCTCAAGGCCGGGCTCATGTCCTGGCTCATTCTGAGAGTATTAATGTAATTGCTCAGAGTCTGAGCACAGAGAACATTAAAACAAAGGTGGCCGTGCTGGAAATCTTGGGCGCCGTGTGCCTGGTTCCTGGGGGCCACAAGAAGGTTCTGCAGGCCATGCTGCACTACCAGAAATATGCCAGTGAAAGGACCCGCTTTCAGGTGGGTGCTCCCTCAGCCTTCTTCACTCACCCCTTCTTTAAAGTCTGCTCAAACACGTGCTTTTCCTGTCTCTGAAGGGGAACATTACTTGAGAACATTACATTTCCCCCTGTGGTGATTACTCACAATGTGACTTCAAATATTCCCTCCTTCTTAGATTTAAGAACCAGAGAATAGAGTATATTTTCCATAGTTGATCAGTCTGTAGCTTTAAATTTGCAGAACTTGAAATTGTGGCCTTGCATCCTACATGTCATACAGCTCACATCTTTTGAACCCACCAAATTGGGTGTTCCCTGAAAATATTACAGCTTGCCATTCTTGAATTAGGATCAATATGAATAATTTTTCATATTTCAGTATATTAGTCAGATGTAAAAGCAAGCGGAGGTGATGAACCAAAGGCTTTTGTATACATGTATGTATGATGTAAGAATTTTGAAATTAGAGTTTTTAGGACTGTTCTTAAGGGGGGAAAAGGGTGCTTTCTATGGGTCAGTATAATCCTGACTAAACACAAGATTTGAAAAGTTAACTTTGAGTCTAAAAAAATTCATAAAATGAGCATAAGGTTAGTAATGTTTCAGTCCTTTGTTTTTATATTTATATTTTTGATAGACATTAATTAACGACTTGGATAAAAGCACTGGGCGGTATCGAGATGAAGTGAGTCTCAAGACTGCAATCATGTCCTTCATTAATGCGGTGCTCAGCCAAGGAGCAGGAGTGGTAAGGACCTTCTACTATAAATTAAAAATCTATTAGTAAAGAATAATTTATAAAAAGTGATTACTATTTAGTCTAAAAACCACAAATATGTATTTTATTGCCCATTTACTTTCAGGAGAGTTTGGACTTTAGACTTCATCTTCGCTATGAATTTCTGATGTTAGGAATTCAACCTGTAATAGATAAATTAAGGGAACATGAAAATTCAACGTTAGATAGGTAAGTCAGAATGCTATGATGTGAGAAAGTTTCTGTGCTTTCCATCTGTAATGCAATGCCTCATCAAGTGCTGGCCTGTGGTTACCTGTGCCCCGTCTGTAATGTAAAGAGCTTGTACCAGAATGTTAGTTCAACTAATGATGTTTTTATAGTAAGACTTTGTTGATGAGGGAAGCAGCACATTTTATAGAAAACGTAATGTGGGTTTTGGCGTTAGACCTGAATTCATGTCTTATCCTAGTCCTGCCTCGTACGTCCTGTGTATCCTGGTGAAGTTACTCCATTTTTCCGAATTTTGCTATTTTTATTCCTGTAAAAAAAAATAAGCGCTGGTGGTGATGATGATAATGACAGTTATTTTCCAGGAATATTTTAAAAATTGACTAAAAAAACCTATGGAATCACTTAGCCCTTTTGACAGGCATACTGTGACTGTTCCACTGCCTATTCATTTGCTCGTTTGCAATCATTTTACTATCTCTAAACTATCCCTACTTGATTTCAGAGCTTTTCTCTACCACTGTTCTCTTCTCCTCTATATTCATATACTCCAGCATGCTCTTCTTCTTGATAGTCTGTGAACACGTCAAAACACTCTTGCGTCAGGGCCTTTGCACTTGCTGTTTCCTCAGCTTCAAAAGATCTTTCACAGATGTCCAAATTGTTTGTTCCCTAGTTCCCTGGAGAGAGACCTTATGTAACCACTGTGTACATTATTCACCTCATCTGCCACCGTTTTCTATTTTTTTTACCCTGATGTGTTTGTCTTCATAAAATGCATCCAGGGTGTGTAGTATACATAGTAGGTGCTCAATAAATACATGACTGAATAAATGAATGGCATGATCATTTGTTTTGTCACCTTTAATTCAGCTGGAAGTTAAGTGTAGGTTTATGGGCATGTTTTTCCATAAAGGGAATCCATGAATGGAATTTGGACTTGATTGTTTTTAGATTTAGTTTTAATAATTGCCTACTATACGCTAGGCAGCCTAGATTTTTAAATTTTTCTCTTATTGTAATCTGTTTCACTCAGGTGATGTCTTTTTTCCTTAGAAAGAACATAGTTAAGTTGAAGCATTCAAATTTTGTTCCATTGTTTCTTTCTGAGCTATCTCTGAAAAGTCAGGAAAAACCTTAGTATTCATGTCCTCAGTCCTATGCACCTGTGTTTGTAGGATGTTCTACTTAATAACTTTTCTTTCATTATTTTTCAGGCATTTAGACTTTTTTGAAATGCTCCGGAATGAAGATGAACTAGAATTTGCCAAAAGATTTGAACTGGTATATATGCTTACAATTATTCTGGTTTGACTTATCAGTTCACATTATTTCTCTTTGTAATGTGTGTTGTAGAGTTCATAGGGACTAATGCAACCTAAAAGCAAAATCGAAGCTCTATTTTGTTACCTAAGGGGCAGGATTAGCTTCTGTTTGCTTTAAGTTTATTTTACACTGGGGGAATTGAAGAACTTAGATGTTTGATTTGATTTCTTTTTCCTATAAAATAGGTTCACATAGACACAAAAAGTGCAACTCAGATGTTTGAGCTGACCAGGAAGAGGCTGACTCATAGTGAAGCTTACCCGCATTTCATGTCCATCCTGCACCACTGCCTCCAAATGCCTTGTAAGTGTATTTGTGACTTACATGTGTGCTTCTGAATGTTTGGACATTGTCCAAAGGGTTCTGGCCCCTGCGCAGTGCTGATTACATTTGGTGCACACCAGAGATTCCAAGGCTTGGTTTTATGACAGCCCAGTTCGTGTGTCTACATAGCTTAAGGGGTGTTACAAAATTTTTTTAATGAAACAAAATTTTGATTTAAAAAATAAAAAATATGCCCTACAACCTGTTTAGAAAGGTATAGAAGGTCCCTCTCAATCACATTAATGATCATTGCATGTCAAAATTCGATAAACTTTGGGAAGCATTGGTACAGATGTTGTAAACCTCTCTGGTTCTGTGGCTCTGAAGGGTGACCGCTATTGACAAATATTCGTCCTAGCTCAGAAACAACTTGAGCATTTTCTTTCACTGTTCTCTTCTTTTTTAGACAAAAGGAGTGGCAACACTGTTCAGTACTGGCTACTACTAGATAGAATTATACAGCAGATAGTTATCCAGAATGACAAAGGACAGGACCCTGACTCCACACCTTTGGAAAACTTTAATATTAAGAATGTCGTACGAATGTAAGTCTCTTCTTATTCTGCTGCCTGTGAGATAATGGTGACAATGTAAGATATTTATTTATCCTATTTCAGTAACAACTGGGAGAGCTAAAATGTTCGAGGGGTCAAATAGGAGTTACTGTACATATGCACTATATCTAAGTAACATCTGGTTTTAAATGGGTTTCAAGCATGTGCTGAGAATTTTCTCTGCAGTAGACTATTTTTGTACCTAGGGAGAATGCAGTTTACAGTGGACCTTTTATATTTTTTGTAATAAATGCTCCTTGAACTCTTACACAGGTTGGTTAATGAAAATGAAGTTAAGCAGTGGAAAGAACAAGCGGAAAAAATGAGAAAAGGTAAATGATGATGCCCTAACAAGTGAAGAGGCTGTGCTGTTGGTTACTGGGTGACCTTGATTTCCATATATTTTGGAAATTTACATTGATGTTTCTTGTTGACTTTGGTTCAAGCAGCCTACCTTTTTCCGTCTTTTAAGGGCATTTGCACTGGGTTTCTTAAATCGAGTATTTTAGTTGTCATGCTGATTCTCAAGTATTTTTTCCTTTTATTATAATCACATAAATGTTTTGAAAAGCTTATAGCATTTGCTGTTCGGTATTCATTAAATCAAATTTTCTTAACTACTAATAATCCAAAGCCTTCCCTTACTCCATAATGGCTCTTTAAAGCTTACTGGGTTTTTTAAGAAATACAATAAGGCACATGAGGGATTATCCAAAATTTTAAAAGAGAAGAACAGGTCACTTGGTTTCAATAACCCAGTTCTCTCTGTGACTTTGACTTGGTACCAGTTGTAAAAAACAAAAAAAGAAGTCATTTAGAAAATCAGTGACCATTGCTGAGATATGTGTTATGAATCATGAGCTGACCAGCTGTTAGTGTATAGTTTGAATATGTTTTTGATATTATCTCTCAGCATCAAATGACAGGAGAGACATTTATGTCCATCACTGTGTTAGCCATACGGAGAAATGTATATCATTTTCCTTCCTGTTTTAAAATATTAGCAAATTGAAGTTGCCGCCTTTGTGGAAACAATTGTACTGCCAGCCACTATGCTCTCACCATACTCGTTAACTGACTTCCTTTTCCTTGTCCAAGTTATTCACCCACAGCCAATGAAACTGAATAGCACTCACCCCAATATTTAATGTGCTGAAAAGCAGGTCCAAGAGATGCTTAAGCAATTCCTTTCTCTCATCATGTTTCCACTGAGCAGAAAAGCAGAGCCATAACTGATACCAGAAAATACCAAATGTGAACTAAGTACTTTTATGTTACAAGTTTCTCATATGTATTCAGGTTGCTCTCAAATAAGTGATACTGCACATGCATTTTAAAAAATAAATTTCAGAACCTGCTACAAAAATAGAAACATTGACTAAAAATCAGGGTAAAGAGATTAAACCAAAGAGAAAAATGGTCAACCAGTGGATATTTTAGGAATACACTCTAGAGTATAGAGACTCAAGTGTGCAAGCTGAGGAGAGCACTTAGGATGTAAGCTTTCATTCATTCATTCATTCATTCATTCAGTGAATAATACCTGTTGAATGCCTGTATGTCAGGCACTGTGCTGAGTTCTGGATCTGATTTTCAACTCTCCCCCTCACTCACTGTGTGGATAAGCTAAGTCATGTCCTCTCTTCTCCCCTAGTCTCCTAACTTTGCAACCTGAGAATTAACCCTAACTCACAATGTGATTGTGAAGATTAAATGACACAACCAATATAAGAACATTAGCGTACTGTAAGGCACATGCTACCTGCACAACAAATGATAGCCATTGTTGCAGGATTTAGGTGGCTGAGATGATGCAAAAGAAAATCTCCAATGTCAGTGGGAGGAACGAGTTATTTTAATGTTTTAAGGTATAGTCATGGGTAGAGTCTAAAAGAGGAAAGATTATAGTTAAATGTTAATTTTTTTCCTGAAAGCTTCAGGTGACAAAATTGTATTAAAGAGGCCACATAGTAAGTAGTCCAATGACAAAGGCAATAAGGAGACAGAAGTTCTATGGACCTAAAAGGTAGAGAATATTTGGGGAGAATTCTCTTTAGGGCAGCACACCCAGGGAGTGCTCAATAAAAGCTTAGTGACTAGGTGGTAAACAGGTACCATTTGTGAAGAGAGTCCTTTAGGTTGGAGCTTCCAACCTGGCATACATCATGATCATCTAAGGATCATTTAACTACTGCACATTCCCAAGCCCTTTTGCCTACCTACAAGATAGACTTCTTGGAATAATGTCTGGGAAGTCTTGAAATGTTAAGACTTCTCGGATAATTCTGAGGCACAGCCAACCCTCAGTGAGAGGAAGGCAAGTTTCTAGTCCTGAAATTGTAAAGGAAGAATGAAATGGAGATAAAAGAAGGAAAATGGGACATAGTGAAGTCATTTTTAGATATATTTCTGGAGATGTTAGGGAAGCAACCACAGAGTGGTAGAAGTGGATTGCTGGTTATTTTAATTCCAAGGCTGGCAAAACCCAGGGATTTTAGTGGCTTGAACTCCTCTCTATAAACTCTGATTTTGGGGAACTCAGGAGAGAGAATAAAACAAGATAAAACAAGAATTTAAGTGTGTTATCAAATTCAGAAATAGAGACTAGCTCTATTAGCATAGTTTTGCCCTAGTGGGTTATACCTCTACTGGATTTACTAATATAAAAAGAATAGGAATTAGGGCCACGTATTTGAAGTAAAAATCCACAGCCTAAACTTCGTTAGTTCTCTTTCCCAGAACTCATCACTCCTGTCAGCAAGCTTATATCCATTGGCAATGTGAATACGCATTATGCTGAATGTGCGCTGTTTTATTATAGCGGGATTGAGGAAGCCAGTAAAACTACAGCTGAGAGTCAATAATTTTCTCCTCCGTATTACCATGATTCTAGCATTCTGCTGACACCACTCCCTTTAGGATATTTAATACTGAGATGATAACATTTGCTTTCACATGTCTTAATAATTGTTTACTGAAAGCATAAAATACATCAAGTAGCCTTCTGAGTGGAGAGGGGAGAAATGACTCCCACTTGGGACAAACCATGGGTCTGGCAGCAGCTCTTCCTCACACATGAGACCCTCCCTTCCAGCCCTTCTCCTGGTGGAGGTGAGCTGGCAAACCTAACTCATCAAAGCTGAACTTCTCTTTGTCTTATTTCTAATTTGTGAAAAGAGGCCATTTGAATATTTGTTTTTTCCTGGTATTGCTAAAGGACCATTTTCATGACAAGATTCTGAATGAACTTTGGTACCATTCTCCTCCACCAGTAATCACTCAAACTTTTGTTTTACGCTTAGAACTCTGAGTGTAGAGTCTCTTCTTTACAGAACACAGTTAATAACGTTGTTCATCCGAAGCCCACTCCAAGCACAAACATCATTTAGCCCTTGAGTTGCTCCCTTTGATGGAGAAGAGGAATAATATTTACCTAATAAAGATCCTCATAATCTCTGCCATCATCCTCAGTCAATCTTTTTTTTTAGAGAAAATGCTTCAGCTTTGAAGACTCTCCTGTTTTCATGTCCAATTGTTTTCATGTGTAGAGCACAATGAGCTACAACAGAAACTGGAAAAGAAAGAACGAGAATGTGATGCCAAGACTCAAGAGAAGGAAGAGATGATGCAGACCTTAAATAAAATGAAAGAGAAACTTGAAAAGGAGACTACTGAGCATAAGCAAGTCAAGCAGCAGGTGGCGGACCTCACAGCACAGCTCCATGAGCTCAGCAGGGTGAGGTCTTCCGCTCAGCTCACAGGCAGCTGCCAAGGCCTCACTGACCCTAGCGCCCTTCACCCTTAAGTAGACAACTTCATACTGGGGGAGCAAAATCTGAAATGGCTCATGATTAATCACAGTTAGGAGACTCACTCCCTCTGCTGTCATGTAGGCAGCTGAGGTATTTGGGGGCTGTGCATGTAAGAATACTGTACTAATCTAAGAGCAAAGGAAATTGTATTAGCTTCTTAAAGTGAAAACTGACTTCATGAAAATCACACTTTCTGTGATGGTGCAAGAAGTGAGAAAGATGTGAATGCATCCCAGACAAGTACTTGGGTGTCAAATACAAAAGGTTGATGCAGTGGAGTCCATGAAGGCCCAAAAAAGTCCATTCAACTTTACCGATCCTTTAAACATTCTCAGAAGTGTGAATTTCTCTATCATACACATCTTAGGCAAAGTTACAGACTCTCAAGTCATTCAATGAATTTACTTCTTCCATTGATCTTTTCTTTTCCTATTTTTATCTTTTCAGAGGGCCGTCTGTGCTTCAATCCCAGGTGGACCCTCACCTGGAGCCCCAGGAGGGCCCTTTCCCTCCTCTGTACCTGGATCTCTCCTTCCTCCCCCACCGCCCCCACCTCTACCAGGTGGGATGCTTCCCCCTCCACCACCTCCCCTCCCTCCAGGTGGCCCTCCTCCTCCCCCAGGGCCTCCTCCCTTAGGGGGAATCATGCCACCTCCTGGTGCTCCAATGGGCTTGGCACTCAAGAAGAAAAACATTCCTCAGCCCGCAAATGCCCTGAAATCCTTCAACTGGTCTAAACTGCCTGAGGTAAGCCATTTGCTCCAATTTTCCCTCTAATGGATAGCATTAGCAGCTCATTGTGTTGTCACTGAAAGGGAAAACAGCCTTGGCTGTTAAATGATTTCATTTTCTAGTGTGGACTCAGGGTTCTCACTAGCTCAGATATTTAAGTGATAAAGCTTCTGAAAGAAAGGACACATTGTTTGAAACCCTGCTCACTTTGAGTGTCTGGTAGACTGAAAAATTTGGGATAGAAGCACTTTTTAAAGAATAGCGGTGCCTGTTCTTTTTATGTATAACTGTAAACCATAGCAGTTATTACCTTGATGTTTCTAGAACAAACTGGAAGGAACAGTATGGACCGAAATTGATGATACAAAAGTCTTCAAACTTCTAGATCTTGAAGACCTGGAAAGAACCTTCTCTGCCTATCAAAGACAGCAGGTAACAGCATATGCCCTCCGGATACCAAAAAAGTAGAAAAATCATGTCTTATCCATGCATGATCGCTGGCCCATCAGCCATGGCCATGATGTGACAGGCACATATGAGTTCTTGGCTGTTGGATCTACCCTGATATGTTTCTGCAGAGCAGCATGGTTGTGCACGTCCACATCTGTGTCCAAGTGACTGTCAGTTGTATGTGAACAGTTGAAGGTATATAAGCTCCTTGTTAGGGAGTTTAATATCTGGTGTATGTCTAAGACCTTGGCTCTGTTGGTGTAGAGTTTTGTATGCTATCACTTGTATTTAGTCAAAACGGGTCACCAGGAGAAAATGTTAGTAGAAGAGTTAAATAACTTCAGTTGTCACCCCACAGTGTTTATATGTAAAACTATTTTGGTTTATCTGAATTTTTAAAAAATACTTATCAAATGGTTACCATTTGAAGCAGAATGCTTTGTGAAATGGATGGAATTTTTAGACATACAGAGGTTTTTTAATGACTCTAATTTGGCCGGTAGATGGAACTTAGGAGTTTTTACTGTATGTCATGAACAGAAGTGGGGTTGTAAAGCCTGAGCAAGTGGGGAGATGTCAATGGTACAGATACGACCAGAGAAGCTACTGAAATGTGAGCAAAGCTTTTGTAATAGTGGCAAAACCATGTGATTTGGTGCCTGCTGGCACTCCACATTGACAGGGCCAACTAGTCAGCATCACTGTGTGAGCCCAGGCACATCTGCGTGGTACCTCTTGTTCTTCAAGAGGGCATCGTGGTCGAGCCTCTTAAAGTTAGACCAGAACAGAACACAGCAAAGTGGCCACGTCTGGAGAGTTTCAGAAGAAAAAAGAAAAGGTGGAGTAGGATCCCAAATAATCAAAGACTTGAGAAGAGAAAACTTGAATCTTGTCGTGTGAGAAGAAAGATTCTTAAGTTGTCTGAAGGCGAGGAGTGATGGAGAGAGCAGAGTTCATCCTAAACAGGAACACACGAATGCTGGGCATCTTACAGGGGCTTTCCTTGGGCTTCACTGAGAGGCCCTTAACTCCCAGATTAATCATGGGTGGAGCATCCTTAAACAAGCAGCAGACTTCCTAGCTGGTTTCCTTGGCTAAGTCCCCAAGAAAGAGTGTATCAGGAAAGAAATACTGAGCACCAAAAGAGTAGATGGCCTTGGGGGGAGAAACAAAAACTAAGGGTTTTTTTGTTTCATTTTGTTTTTTCAAAATAGCCTTTGATGCATCTGAAATGGGGAAAAAAATCCAATATTTAAGTGAATATTTTTCCTTAAGAAAGGGAAAGCTTTCTGCAATGCCTTTTATGCCAGTTTAATAAAATACAAAAATAGAGGTGGTTGCCTGCCATGGTGACATGAACACTTAAAACAGGAGCCCTCAGCTGCCCACCCCTACCGTAAGTAGGAACGGAAACATGGGCAATGTTATACAACCAAATAAGGGAAAATGAAAAAACACAATGAAGATGAGGCATTGGCCAATAGAAAGCAAAACAACTTATCTTTCAAAGGACAAAAGTTGTCTTTAGAGTCCTCATGTGGCAGGGACTGTGACCAGACTCATTCCTGATTGGCTGCAACATGCCACCTCTTTCTCTGTCTGTTGTCCTGAGAAGGTGTCTCCCTAGCCTTTACGTGAAATCTTGAGGCATTTTAGCAAATTTCCTGGTAATTCAAATCATCTTCTAACCTGGTTATATGCCCCATTGCTTTCCCACTTCAGTTTTGATCACTGATACTGGTCCATGGTGACTGCCTAATGTGAAGACTTGAGAATCGTAGAGAAGTAAATGAAAGGAAGGAAAAGCAGCAGTTATTCCAAATGATGCTACTCAAGTCCAAGCATGTGGGTTGCATTTATTATAAAGGCAGGTGGTTGAAAGACCTAAGTTTACAAGACTCATAATTAACTGGCTTTCAGCAGAAGGTGCAGAAGGATGCTGCCAAAATGCTGTGGGACAAATATGTGGACAGTTCTCAAGAGCTCTGGGAGACAAGATTGCAGAAAGCCTAGCAATTGGGTAATTGTCTCCTAGCAACCAACACTGTTTAAGTAATCAGTAGGCATTCCAGTCAGGAGAGTCCAGAACATTTCAGTTGTACTTAACACTAAGTAGACCGGCAAGTAGAATCAGTTGTGACCGTATTTTCAATAGCACTTCCTGAAGAAAAATTTCAGCATACCTGATCAGCTTGAGTAGTTCAAGTGTGTTTACCCTTTTGGTACAAGAATTTGAGATGAGAACTTTTAAACCATAAGTATATTTTCTAAATAAGGATAATTTGAACCATTTTATTGAATTCACTGAATTCTGATAGAAAATCCAAAGATGTGGACACTTTAGTTGGAATATGTAGGACACTGTAAAGGAAATGGAGTGCCTGTCATTGAATGTCCCTTTATCTCACGACCAATGGAAACACTCAAGACCTATGCGTTTTCATCTCAGTCTTGGCAGTGCATTGTATGATTCACTTGAACTGCTCCCTTTTCTACTCCCAAATGAATACTGAGGACCTATTTTTTTCCATGGTGTCTCCTCTTTTCCTCCTTCCAGAGTCATGACACTCTGTTCAAACTCTAGACTTCAGCCAGTTGTTTGGCTAGATACAATTCTCAGATAGGCAAAGGAACACATGAATACTATGGATGCATGCAACAGGAACCCTGCACAGAGGAAGATTTTGGAAAAATTTCAGTAATATCAGATTAGTATAATTTAGATGAATACTGAGAAATGGCACTTAGGGAATATATACAAACACACATGTATATGCAGACACACCCACACCCACATACATATATATATGCATACACTTAGGTACATAAACTATATCCAGTTGATGTGAGGAATCAAAATCAGAACATATATTGTCTACTTTGTATACAAAGTACTTCAAAGGATGAAAAATGTATTAAACTTTTGCACAGGCCCACAGTGTAACTCAGACTATAAAAGCAGAGATGAGGAAAATCTGTAAATAACTGTAATATGAACTACACGATCATAATATTAAGCCTCTATTACATTCCTGATGCTGAGTATGATATACACAGTTCCCAATCTCGTCAACCTTAAGATTTAGTTCTCAAGGAGCTCTTATACTTATTTTTTCCCTTAACGCTCACCCCCAGCTCTATGAGTAGATACTATTCATATTTTATAGGTAATAGAAACATGGCTTGGTGTGTATTTAGGGACTCCAAAAGGACATAATTCTCAGTTTCACTTTGTTCTTCCCCACGGTTTTTATTCATTATAAATGTCAGACTTTGTATAGGATTTTCTTTAACTCCAGCTTTAAGAACAAGACTGCTCCTATTCAGAATGTTCTGTTCAGTGCGGATATCAACGGTGTGCTGAGCTGATTATGTAAGCTTATGTGCCATGTGAAATGGGATCTAGTAGTTATTTTCCACTCACATTCCAAAAGTTCATTGGAAAGTCAATTTCTGGAATCTCAGGACCTCTTTTTCTCGTTGAAACTATATTACACATGATTTCCAGGTCAGCCACAAAAGACTTATTTAAATACATAATGTAGCACATTGCATAGCTATACTTTTCAGATACAATTAAACAATATTCATCTCTGTTTTATGGGAAATTTTCATCCGTAAATTCTATAAATTCATTTCTCTCTATACAATTGAATAGAGGCGAAATGAGCTAAAGGTACTACATTTACCTAAAGGGAGTCATATCTCTGTAGCAACCAATTCACAACTCACTATCTCTTCCTTCCCCCTGGTCTTTGCTTGAGGACAGCCCTTCCTTAAGGATCCTATTGTCATCACATTGTCAAACTTCAAAGCTTCTGCTCTGGGTTAGGAACAAAGAATAACTGTGGTCCCAGGCTCTGAAATCGAACCTCTCCTGCTTATGTGTAATGCATAAGACATTTTGGGGGTTCCATTTAGAGCACTCAATGATATCTTCTGATTTTTTACAAATTATCAAAGAATTTTCATTTTTTATTCTCTTTACAATTTTTCTTCCTATATCTAATTTTCATATTGAAAAATTTTAAGATTTAAGATATTTATTTAAATAAGCTTGATCCTTAGCCATGGCACATGAAGACGGAAGAGAGAATTATAAATATTTCTTAAGACCAAGTGTAAGTTGTATAACTAGGCTTCATGGTAAGGGTTAATCAAGTGCAGGGTTTTATATAAATATAGGGTATGAATTTTTCTGGATAGGGATCCATAATTTTTACCAGATTGACAGAAGTCTATCTCAAAATGATTAAAAACCAATCATGTAAGAGTTATGATTATTTGTGAAGTGTTGAGTCATTATTCCATTGTGGAATTCAATCTACAGCACTATCAGCACTGCTTCCTGAAAATGCAAGTCCCAACTTCCTATTTATACTCCAAGCCCTAAGCTTTATGCCAAAAGTTGCCTGGAAAAACCAGATATCCTGTTAGGTGAAGCCAGAAATAAGTGATTCTACCACATTTGACCCAAGCCAATTAGAAATATCTTTTGTTATTTCCGTCTCATATTTGAGTGAATAAGGTTTCAAAAAGAATGTAAACTTACCTTGAAATAGTCTTGGAAGCATCGTTATTTCTAACATGCCCCTTTCAATGAAACTTATAAGCTTTATGATTTTATTTCTAATGTGCCAAGTAAAGGACTTTTAAAGAAGTTGAATCTTTAGGCTAATAACTGAAGAAACTCTTGCATGGCATTCTTTATCCTCTCCTCTAGAAAGATTAAATATATTATGTGATTATTAACTATTATACTTACTGCTGGTGCTGGTTACAAATGGGAGATCTCGACCAGCTGTTTTCCTAGCTCAACTGAAAGCAGAGCAAAAGGGGAATAAATTGACTTAATCATCAGCTTGAAAGATGAAATAATTGTATCATTGTAGCTTCCAAGTATTGAGCTCATACAGTATATTAGGTACTATACAAAACGCATTACATGATTGTCATGTTTAATCGTCACACCAATCAGTTGTTAATTAACTCCATTTTACAGACAGACAGACTGAGCCCCAAGCCCCACACCCAGTAAATAACAGTTGTCTGATTCCACAGTCCTCTACACTAGAGGTCAGAAGTCTTAATTTGCTGACATTGGGAACTTAGAAAATAGGATGAGTTGCCAGTGAACTTCAAAAATGTTTCTTCTTTGAGGGTCAGAAAGTGAGAGCAGAATCTAAGTTTAACTACCAACTCTCTCTTTAAGAGAAAAAAAATAGGTTAAGATGACCTCATGGAGTTCACTTCACCATAGTCTTTTTTGCCCTTGAAAGGAAACTGCTTTTACAGGAAGAGTCCCAAGGAGCTTCAGAGTAGATAACTTGGCAGTTATAACAGAGACAAAAGAAAACTGGGATATCAGAGGAGGAGTATTCATTGTTTTTTACACGCCTTTCTAGAAAAGCAGTCCCTCCTTGTATGGCTAGAGTAAGGGGAGGACACACTCTGTTTCCCACTAGAGGAATTATGTGAAACAGCTCATCTGTGTAAAATTGGCCTTGGCAGTGCTGCCGAGACCAATGAAACCTTAAGGAATCTGCTGAGCAAATGCTGGTTGTGCAAGCTGTTGGCCCAAAAACTGGGGCGTGTTTTGCACAATGAAGCCTTACTCATTTCAGCATTGCAAAAATATGAGACGTATGCTGTAACTTTCTCATAGCATGTCAGTTTCTTCTTCGTTGCCTTTTTCACTCCAAGTCTTTTCTAAAAACTATTTCCAGAAGAGACTGTTGACCTTGTATGCTTGAACAGCCCTGAGGCAGTTAAGACAGGGCCACCAGTGGCTGCACAGCACACGAACCACTGATTTTCTCTTAATTGCATGTTCTTTTTCCTCATACCTACCTGTAGCACCTATGGGTATTATTTGGACTTTATAGGGGTGCTGAGGGTTAATATTACTGACTTGAGTTGTTCGACCTGTCTTTCCTCAATCCTTCTTATAACACAAGATGACAGGAGATTATTTCCATCAAAAAAGTGCCTTTTTTTTTTTTTTTTGCTATTAACAGTAGGAATAGTTTCCTCAAGTTAATGGAATTGATTGATATTCTGCTTCAAGTAAAAATCATCATGTTGAGTAAATGGAGCTAGTGGTCATTTCAAAGAGGATTTGTTCCTTTCCCAGCTTGGGTCTTTCTGGGGTGTTTTAAGCCCTGTCTTTTCTGAATTTGATTTTCCCCCATTGAAAATTGGGTACAGCAAATGTCATCGTCTTTCTCTACCCTGAATGCTTAGTATTGTGCTCTTCACGGTATTCAGCCAAACTTTCTCATCTTCATCAACTCTCACTGATGATCTCTTACACTACATCACTTATTTCCTTGACTGCTTTGACTTTTCCCCATTTGTTGCTGTGATTTCTGAACTGCATGTATCTGATTTGCCTTTTCCATGCCTCTGCCATGGCTGTAGGATTTCTTTGTGAACAGTAACTCCAAGCAGGTAAGTGAGCTACTACCTAAAGCTTGCTTAATATAACTCCTTGGCTCACTGTAAGCTTGAAATCTCTTCGTTATCCAGGATTTTGTTTTTGTTTTTTAACTAGTGTAATCTAATGCCTAGGAAACTCCACTTTGGATTTCAACTCTTAAATGAATATCTAGAGGTTCGCCTGGAATTTTAGCACGAGACAGTTGACATTTGATCACATAGTGCCCCATATTATAAATTTCATATTGCCTTTGTTTTCCAAACTATTACACAGTTCTAGAGCTCTTTGGTTTCCTTACTTTTTTTAATGCTACCGTTATTGGCATAACAATTTATGTAATTGTTTGATTTTTTTCCCTCCTAATTCTTGGATGGGAAATATTTGAAAAAGGCTTGATGGTGTGTATAAGACTTGGGCTATTGTCTTCTGATAGTAATCAAGTATTTACAGATTGCATAGGCTGTAGTTGAATTTAGATGCTCAATACGTTTAGCATCTGAGCAAGCCAGATTGCAGTCACGTCACTCCAAATTCATTTTCTTTTTAAACTCTAAAATTTAAACAGTAGTACAGACTCATGTTAAAAACAGCAGTCTGGTCTAAGATTTAGTAGTTTGTAGAACTGATAATGTTTGATGTTCTCCATAAATTCATAAGGCTTAGTAGGAAAGTACATAGAATTTTTAGAGCTTAAACAGACTTTAGAAATACCACTTTAATTCAATCCCCTCATCCAATGAGAAAACTTTGTAGGTAAGTTGAATGAAGAATTCACCTAAGATTCTTCATCTTTGTGTAAAGTGTACATACAATTTTGCAAAAGAAAGAGCTACTTAATAATCAGTTTTCTTACATTTTTAAAATGTGGTAATCTACTTTTCAATTGATCCTCTCTGCTAATGAAATCAGACTTGATATTTATCAACGTAGCCTCAACCTTTTTATTATTACTGATACTCCTGTTGCTCAGTTTACTCTAAAAGTATGTTAAATATAACTTTTGTTTGTTCCACCTAAAATTATAACTGGCCATCGTAGCTTACAGATTTCTGTACAGCAACAGAATATGAAAGTAGTGTTTTATTGTTAGTGTAAGTAACTGAACTCATGCCTCAAACTGCCTGTTCCCATTGTCCATCAGGCTCCAGGGTAATGAAGGGTACCGTCTGGCTTTTGGAGCTTCCTGCTGTACATGAAGATGTTTGAGAGGTTTTATCATTTAGCTTTTTTGAGTGCTCAGGTTGCAAATGGTTCTGGGGTGAATGGGCCTTGCAAATGGCTGGACAGGCAATGGCAAGCCTCAGCTGAGCCTGATTCATAGTGACAGTTCTTCTGTCTGCAATCCATAGGAATTTGGGGGACAAAAGGAGGGCACCACTCACTGATAATTTATGCACATTTAGCATCTTCAACTTAGAAGCACTTTGTTCTTCCAAATAATGCTTTTTCAAATGTGGGTGGTCAGCTTTTCTTATTATTTCCTTTTACCAACTAGACTGTAACCTTTGTTTCAATTCCACCATCTCTCCACACTCCCCACCTCACCATCTCAGCTTTGCTCGTGTGTGTATGTGTAGAGTGTGTGTAATGTGTGTGTGAACAAAAATGTAAAGGAAAGTGTGTGTCTGAAGTCTGAATGTCCCTGTTGGACTTTGATGGATTTCTTTCGTGCTCTTTACAGAAAGAAGCAGATGCCATTGATGACACTCTGAGTTCCAAACTTAAAGTCAAAGAGCTTTCGGTGATTGATGGTCGGAGAGCTCAGAATTGCAACATTCTTCTATCGAGGTATTGTTGATGTTGAATAAACATTCCTAGTAGGCCCAACATTTCCATTCTGTGGCTCAAAACCACATGTTAGTGATTTTGTTTTAATTGTACTCTGCTGAGGTACAGTTCCTTGGATTCCCTTCTGTTAAAATGAGAACAGCTCTTGGTGCTGACTTTCCCTAGCAGAACATATCAGAGCTGAATGCCTTCTTTCTCAAAGCTTAATTTCCACAGACCTCTAAATTTAAAAGCAGAACATCTTAAGTCAATCTTTTCTTCCCAGAAAACCTGTAAAATGGACTTGACTTTTATTTACACTTCTTGGCCTTAGAGATATTTTGGTCATTTGGTAGCACTGTCACAGAATCAGGACCAACAGATGAAGGCTCTGTTTTATTTTGCTTTCTAAAGTCACCTTTTTACATATCAAGGTTATATGATTTCATGCTCTTTTTGAGCATTTTTATGGCTAAAAGGATATGTAAATTTCAAACCTCCATGAAATGCTAATTTTTCCAGTTCAGCCCTGTTCAGAAATCTTTCTCATAATTAGTGAACCATCACAGCCTTGGAACTTGAAAAGAAGAAAGGAAATTTGGGAGCCTGAAATCTGATTGCAGCTTCGGGCAATGTTGTCAGGTTGTTCTGGGGATGTCAAATAGCTTTTCTTTATCTAGTTTCTTCTTTCCTCTAAAAGGAACTTTCATGTTAGGCAAAGACACCTAACACTTAGGGAGTGAGTGAAGATATAAAGAATCTTACATGTTGGGGCTTTAAAGATAAGTTACATTCTGGAAGGAATGTTGCATATGCATTGAGGCTGGTATAAGGTGACTTCTTTTTCAGGGAGAATGAAGAGAGGGAAAGTAGTAGTCCTTATTATTTCAATGTACTTAGAATGAATTTCTTTTAACACAAAGAGCTGCTGCTTGGTTTTCATCATGGAAGTTGATTCTTAACGAGATATGTATTACTTCAGGGAGCAAATGTTTCTTTCAGTGAAGAGAAATTGAACCTTAGTGAGATCTTTGAATTTTAATGCAACTAGTGAGGTAACCCGAACCATCCCGTTAGCATTTTATTTCTGCCTGTGGCTGAAAGCTGTGTAAGTAACCAGACCCCGTATTTATTCTGAACTATGCTAAGGTTAGATAAAATATCTATCTGCTTTAGGAAGACACCACTGAAAATAATTTGAAGGTCAACTTATTTTTCTTTTACAGTAACCCCCACCCCTTATCCACAGTTTCACTTTCTGTAGTTATTCATGGTCTAGTACAATAAGATATTTGGAAATAAACTGCATTCACATAACCTTTATTATAATATTTTGTTGTAATTGTTCTATTTTATTTTTAGTTATGATTGATCTCTCACTGTGCCTGATTTATAAATTAAACTATCATTGGTATGTACATATAGGGGGAAAAAAACATAGTCTGTGTAAGGGTCAGTACTATCTACAGATTCAGGCCTCCACTGAGGGGTCGTGGAACATATCACCCTCCAATAAGGGAAGACTGCTGTACAGTGTAAACAGTTCGCTTTGTTACCTTTTTATAAGTAGTATTTCTAATAGCAAAATTAAATTAATTTGGGGAAAATTGTGGGGATTTTTTTTACATCCTAGAATTTCTCTCTATATTTTATGCTTGTACCATCCAGATGAATGCTTTAAAACACTTGGCAAAGGGAGCAGTCACAGAATTTCTATAGTGTTGAAATGCCTTTAGAGTGAAAACCGTGGCCTCGTTCCTCATCGACAGATTATTCAGTAGTACTAAGTATCAACCAAGGTAATTAAACTAGATATAGATAAGGTTACATCTCTTTCTGGCAAATTTCCCATTCTATTATTGAGGGGATTAGTTCATATTTGTGGTATGTAATTCCCTTGTAACCTTAGGCGCTAACACTTTTGAGGTGACTTAGAACTTGAATGTATGTAAACTATCTTAAGACAGTTTTAAACTGGCCTCATATCTGTCAGATTATCAATTAAAATTCAGTTTAGTGGATGTGTTATTACAGTGAGCACAAAAAGCGTGTTGAGATCAGGAGTTAAGGACCAACCTGGCCAATGTGTTGAAACCCCGTCTCTACTAAAAATACAAAAATTAGCTGGGCGTGGTGGTACGCACCTGTAGTCCCAGCTACTCAGGAGAGGTTGAGGCAGGAGAATCGCTTTAACCTGGGAGGCGTCAGTTGCAGTGAGCTGAGATTCCACCACTGCACTCCAGCCTAGTGACAGAGCAAGACACTATCTTTAAAAAAAAAAGCGTGTTGTGTGTGTGGCAAAGTAATTTTGAGTCCCATTTGACCTGCTGGCCATTGGCCGCGTTGATCAGGATCTGAAGCCTTCTCTCCCACAGGGGGTTCAGTACCACGTCCTTTTGTGCTCAGTGGTCAATTGTTCTACTCTCTCATCAGGGAAGTACAGAATGACATGTTACATATTGTGGTAAAAGTGAAAACAATTAAGCAAATTTATAATTTTTTATTTAGTTTTTTAACCAATCAGCAGTTTACTTTTCATTCTTCCCTTTTTGTTGGCAATCTATTACTATGCACAAAAGGAGCTAGGAGCATAAAAGGAGAAGAAAGAAATATGAAAACGTGTTCAACACTGTTTTTCTTAGTCATCACTTTGGAGTATTTATTTGCCTGGCACTGTGCTGAGTGCCATAGGATATACTACAAGTTAAGATAATATTGCTGCCTTTGAAAGCATGTGAGTGATTGGAGAAGAAAAATGACACCTATGAGAAGATTTGTGCACAGTTCAGGGCTTACACTGGTCTGACTGAAGGACACAGAGCTCAGCTGTGTAGGAGGCGCGCCAGCAGGGCTTACTGTAGAAAGTGGGCCTCAAAGGCAAGGACTGTTACATGATGAGAGGAGACCAGGAAGCCCATGTCAAGGAGGCGTGCAGCAGCAAAGATGTGGGAGGGACATAAGCATAGCTAGTAAAGAGAGCCCTGCAATCCTGGCAGAGAAGTATCAATTGGTTTGAATGAAACCAGGCAGGAGAGCCAGAGATTCAGGACTTGTGCGTTTATAAGGGCATGAGTCAGCCCAGGATCACATCATAGCCTCCTCATCTGTAAAATGAAGATCATGAGAGTAGCAGCCCTGCAGTGGCTTGTGAGAATTCTACCTAGGATGTGTGCAGCCCCTGGAAGGGTGCCTGCATGGGTACTGCCCTGTCAGTGTCCTGTTTATGTATCCATGGGATCAGAACTGGTACCGTGTGTTTGTTTAATAAAGTTTTTTAGTTTGGGCTCTCGGTTTCGCAGGACAGGTTAGAAGGGGTTAACAGCTGGACCAGGGCAGCCATCAGATAAGGGTCTCTGTTGTCCAGGTGAGACTTGATGACTGAGGGACAGCTTCAAGAGAGATGAAGAAGCCCTTGAAGGCTGGTTTTGTGCTTGGGGACAATGAATAGGAATGTTTCAAAGATAATGTCAGTATTTCCCACCTTCCCACACTTACTATCTTTCTTTCCAGCTTATTTCATTCCCAGAGGCTGGTGAACTTCTGTATTTCTTATCTTGCTGTCTAGGGATTTATTTCCTGGCAATGCCATCATTACACCAGAGTTCACCACAGTGAAAGCCTGTGGTGTATTCCATGGGCTATATTTTAATGAGCATTTGTGTTCACAGTATTTACGATTATGCCTTAAAGGTCTTCCTTATATTTTACAAATGTCAGTGGACCCTTTTGGTCAGGGGCACCTGCCACAGCTTTGTCTGAAGCCAAGCAAGGCAGTTAGAAAGAGGCCAAGGCAGGGAAGAGGTGCCGACTCTCCCCATGCCTGAGTGAGTAGGGTATTTGCAGCCTGATTGACCAAATCATTTGAAGCTCTCAGAGAGATGACCTAAAAGGTGTGCATTTGAATGGGGAGTCTAGAGCATCAGGGACCATGCTTTTCATGGGAAGAGAGTAAAACGGGCACATCTTAGAGAATTCATTTCTCAGGTCCTCAGAGAATAAGCAACTTTTCTACTGTGTATGGGTGACATGTAGCAATTTAAAATTTACTCTGTTTTATTCCCTAAAACAGACCTCTCCTCCAGCGGGGTTCGGGGAGACAGAAACTTGGAAGCAGGATTATATTGCAAAATGAACCCACCTAAAACACAATTTTATGAAGTGTTCTGCTGTTCTTTTTTTTCCAGATGCTCACTTAGCACAGCAGCCTGGGTGTAGTAAACCACAAAAAGCTACTCTAAAGTAAGGGGATTTGGCCTAAATCCACTGAAGTAGAGCTAAGGCTGATCTAGCCATCCATCCTTATCTTAGTTATGCCTGGATGTTCCAATTCTCTTTGCAAATTTTTGAAATACTTGAGTAGAGCAGCCTAGAGTTGAATACTATTTTAAGATGGCTGGTTTATTTCCTGCCTAATAAAGAAAGTTGGAGTAGATGTCTCAAAAGTTGCCACCCTCCAGCACTCTAGAACAGTACCAAACTTTAAAAACAATTAATTACAGAGATTAGAGACTGATTCTGTGGATGACAGATGATACTAAGAACTCTGCAACCTGTAGAACCATCCCCGAGGGTGGGGTACCTTTCTCCCCTTTCCCTTAAGACAGGGTTTCTTTGTCTGATCCAACAGGCCACGTGCATGGCGTTTTGTTGACAGATAGATTTTCTTAAGTACTAGCCATTAAAGTCTCCAGTCTGTTTGTGGGCCACATTAAGAGAAACCAAAATTGTTTTGAATTAGAGCTGGTGTTTAGTCCAGACAGCCTCTGGGGGTTGAGGAGCATAAATATATACAATTTCAAAAGCAAGAAGTTCTGTGCTCCATATGGGGAGCTAATGAAATGCAAATCTGATACTTCAAGTATTGTTCTCACTCTGATTTTCAACTCCTTTTTTTTTAAATGCAAAACAGAAGGACTCAGCAGAACTACACCATAAAATGGTTTCTTCCACTTGGTGTGAAAGGACACAGAACTAGTTTATTTGTTTTCTTATAAGCAGAGCTCTTCTCGTGATTATAGATGTTTTCACAGCCAGTTGGTTTTCAGCATTGGCAGTTTCAGCCTTCCCTGTTGTTACTGTTTCTTGGCCTTGCATGGCCGCACAATGGTGTTTACACTTAAATTGACTCAAGGGCCTCTAGTGTCCTGGAATCCAGGGCTACCCAGTTGAGGCCTTGATCCTGTAATTCGGTTTTCCCGCTGTTATATACTTTACCCATGCCAACAGCTAAATTGTTCTGTTTAAGTAGGGGGATTTTCTAACACTGGTATTCTGGGAAACATGTTCATGAGGCAGATCGTCCCAAGAAGGACTAAAACCATCTGAAAAAGTCTACCAGGGTGAGGGTGGCTGAAACAGCGTGGAGGTTATGATGGCACCACAGCTCAGAGGAAGTGATAGAACGGGGCTTCTTTGTCAGCTTGAACAATTTCGCATTTTGCCTAGATGCTTTTTTGGGTTTGAGAACAGGAAATAGAAGAGAATGGTGTTATTACTGTAGGAGTCCCGGATTTTTTCCTTCTCTTCTCTACTTAATGGCACATGAAACAACATTCAGTTTAAATAGCAGGGTGGATGGTTTTAACAAAATCATGTCCCAAGTCTAGAGAAAAAGACAAGCCAGAGGCATCCTTGGTGGGGTGCCTCATCTAGCTTCACCTGGGGGTTCTCTTCTTTTACACTGCCTTTGAGTGCACACTTTCACTTAGCCCTCACCTTCACCTGTAAGCCCATGGCTGAGTGTGTGCTTTACACACCTTTGTGTCTTGAGGGCTGCATCATATCTTCTGGTTCTCCCAATGACTATAATCACTGTTAAGGACCGCATCTTCGATTTCCTTCTTAATACCCCCAGGCCTAATGGATGTCATACACAGAGAGGAAACACTGGTGAAATAATGGATATAACAGTGCTTTGAAAAGTGATCTTAATTACCATACTAAGTACTGTTTAATGCATTCTTAGCTGCATATGAACATTTAGGTTACAAAAGTACTGCTGCTTTGTTTTTCTAGTATAGAAAAGTCTGTCTTGTAGAACGTACATATAGTTTATTGTGTTCAAAAATGGCCTGGAGCTTTGTTAAGCACTTTGCTTAATCCTCATGTGGACATATGCAAACACAATGCTTTTTTTTTTTGGCAGGGATGCAGTTATGTAGTTATTACTATCCCCGTTTTACAGATGAGGAAACTGAGGCTTAATAAAAATGTTTTGCTGTAGTCACACTGACCAGGAAGTGTCAGAGACAGGACTGGGGCCCAGTGTTGGAGACAAGACTGGGGCTCAGTCTAATAGAAGATGAGGTCCTTAGCTGGGTCACACCAAAGCCCTACCTTCAAAAGTTGCATGTGACATATGTACATCTTCTTTCTCTATATTTGTATGTTTACGTCTTTATCTCCAGTCCTAAATATGACTCTTCTTCAAGAGCATAGATGAAAAGAACAAATCAAGTCATGTAAATATGCCACATTAGTTATAGGTTGTAAGGAAGTAAGATTTTTTAAATCTTACACACATGGGGAGTCATGCCTGCAATCCCTGAGCTTTGGGAGGCCAAGGTGGAAGGGTTGCTTGAGGCTAGGGATTCAAGACCAGCCTGGGCAACATAGTGAGACCCCCATTTCTATTTAAAAAAAAAAAAAAAAAAAAGAAAGAAAGAAAAGGTCTGGGTCTAATGCATACAAATTAAACAAAGGAATGATTCTCTTGTTGCAGCTAATAATGCAATTAAGATTTTTTGCCCTGGGTAAGACTATTGTTACTTTTTCTTTTTTGAGACAGAGTCTTGCTATGTCACCGGGCTGGAGTGCAGTGGCATGATCTCGGCTCACTGCAACCTCCGCCTCCTAGGTTCAAGTGATTTTTCTGCCTCAGGCTCCCGAGTAGCTGGGACTACAAGCACGTGTCCCCACTCCCGGCTAATTTTTGTATTTTTAATAGAGATGGAGTTTCACCTTATTGGCCAGGATGGTCTCCATCTTTTGACCTCATGATCCGCCCGCCTCGGGCTCCCAAAGTGCTGGTATTATAGGCATGAGCCACTGCACCTGGCCTTAACATTATATTTTATAGTTAATACTTTGTTGTTCTGATAATCAAGATACAGATTCCTGATTAAATTGGTAAATCATTTAAGTTGATGGTAGACAGAAAAAGAGAAAACAGATTTGTATTTTTGCTTAAATCCTTCCCTATGAGATACTAACTAGATAAGGAATATTTGTATAAAGAGTTTGAGACTAGCAATCAAGACTCTTGGGTTTGTGGTTTCTGTTTGACCTTGGACAAATCACTTGGCCATTCTGGGCCTCAGTTTATCTATTAACAAATGCCTTAATTATGAAGTACTTATAAACTTTATTATGCATATTATCTGTTTCTCAACTTTCTAACAATAACATGAAGTTTCTAGCCTTCTCAAAATCCACTTTTTACCTGACAGCAAACTTGAAACACTCCTGACATATAAACAGGTCAGAAACTTAGTTCCATTCTCTCACCTGCAATTCACGGATCCTATGTGTAAAAGAAAACAATTGTGTATGGGTATTTTCCCTCATTCTAATCTTCCAATCCCTTGCTTAGGAACACTAAATCATAGAACATAGCAGCTTTGTCCTCTGTGTAAGCAGAGCATTACAAAGCCCTGAAGGAATGTTAAAGCCGTTTTAAAATCCTATTTTTAGGTTCAATATTGTCAGGAAATAAGCTTTCACTGAGAGATTTTGACAAAAAAAAAGTACTTGAAAATCAGCAGCTGGAGTAGCAAAATGAATTATGTGAAATTGTAATACTCAAATCAATACGGTTGATAACAAAATATTCTTTCTCCAGGTTGAAATTATCCAATGATGAAATCAAACGGGCAATTCTAACAATGGACGAGCAGGAAGATCTGCCCAAGGACATGTTGGAACAGGTGAGCTACCAGATGTATGTCAGAGTAGAAGTGAAAACCGACTGGCAACAGGGAGTGGGACATTGAGAACCTCCAGTTGTTGCTAGTGGATCATTTCCTATGTATGAATTGAGGAGGCTGATGAACCCAGTTTCCATGTGACTCTCTTAGGAAACTTAATGCCCTTATTCTCATTGCTTCCCAAACTGATGGGTGAAAGGAAGATCAAGTTTATCAAATGCCTGTGATCCACAGTGTCCCTCAAGCTGCAATTGTCTTATACCTCAGTAAATCAAGTAAATCTACTAGCTCTAGAAGAAAATCTGTGTTTCACAGGAATATGGAGAATCCCACTAGCACCGTGAGATTGCAAACCATACTACAGAAACTGATTCCATTACTAAACTCTAAATATAATTTGTGTCTTGGTCACCAGACCCACAACCATGAAAATGACCTTTAAGCACCTAACACGGTCATCTGTATCTAAATACACATGTGTGTCACAAGGCAGGTTGTGAAAGTCTTGAGGCTAAGTCTTACCTCTGTACATTGTACAGCACCCTCTTGGGTTATATATAGCGGGAAATTTAAATGCTAGGGCTAGCAAGAACAGGATTTACAGCCAGGCAGTATACATCTTTGCTCATGGTATCTTGATATAATTTTTATTATCCATCACCAAGCAGCCAGTATTTCTGTAGCTTTCCTGTGTAGCCATTCCAGCTATGTCATGGGTTGTTTGGCATCTTTGTCTAGTTGTCCTCAAACAACAATGAGGACAGTGTTGATCTTTAACATATTCTAGGGATATTCATCTGTCTCTGCCCCCTGCCCCTCGGTCTGGGCCTAAACTTTTCTGTGTTCCGCGGTGATAGTCTCAGGATGCTATAAGACTGTTCCATCCTTCTGTCTCCTTGTTTTGGGGATGGGCTCACATTTTGAGTGGTTTTGGTCAAGAAATCCATATTTGTTAGAGCCAGGTCCACCTAAGGTCAACTGTGGACAGATGCAACTACGATTCCACACTGAACTCGGGGTTGCATCTGTAGGTGCGCCCTGCTCCAAGAGCAGGGAATAAGGGTATTTTGTGTTGTTAACAGAAATCCTGAGTAGTGAAGTTGCTCTGGGTAGAGTGCCTGTCTGTCTGCATGTACATTTTCCCTGCTTCTCATGATGTCCTCAAAGGTCTCAGACACCACGCAGGGAGGAATGATGTTTGCAGAGTCACTCGGTAATGGACCGGCCCCTGCCTGCAACCTCTGCAGCTGGAATAGTCCTGGGGGAAAACCCTCACATTTCCCATGGAAAAACTTTCCATGCTGGCCTTTAAAGGTTTTCTTTAATTATCAAAATAGTTAATAATTATGTTCTTAAGCCTCTTGGGGTGCTCTGTGTATGGTTTAAAAGGATCCTCTGAACCCAGAATTTATTTTGAGAGCATTTTCTGTCTCCTCCACACACCCTTCCCTCCCTCACTGTAGACCAGTCACATAGTCTACAGTGGGACAGTGGAGCGTAGCTCCCTCTGCCCCTCCCAGGTGACCCTGCCTTCGAGTTGCTGCAGCCAATGTGCTAACCCAGAGTGAAGGACTATGTGTAAAGCTGCTTTAGTCCTCCTGCCTTCAGCTCCTATCGACAAGGTCGTATGTTTTAAAATTCCACAAGATCTGTTTACTGTGGAATTGCATCCCCTGAAATTCCTCCTTGAGGGAAAGGATTTCAGAATCTTGCCAAAAGGGCCTGCAGTACAAATAGAATGTACTTCAAATAAATACAAGAAAGAAAACCAGTCTACTGAAGCAGAATCTGGCCAAGTAGGAAATTTTTGACCTGGCCTCTCCTGACAATTCTGTGTGTGTCTTGCTCTCTGGTCATCTCCCACGCTCTTTCTTTTCTTCCTCACTTTACTATTTGTTCTTTACTTCCCTTTCCTCTATACAGCATTCTTCCCAGACAAGTGTTGATGCCAGCATCTCCTTACTCCTATTTAGGATGTGCCTGTTGGCCACTGTCATCCTCTCCTCTCTTGCTGCTTGCAGCTGCTGAGCTCTGATCTCAGCTGAGAGCTACACACTCTTCTTTCTTGGAACACATATCTTTATCCTTATTTCTAGATATTTGTCTAACTCTCCATCCTCTCTTAAAACTACCCATGCACAGTCCTTTACGCAACTCTCCTTTGAGAGACTTTAGGTAACTGTGCCCTTTTAGGTAACAAAAGAGATGTAGTGACTGTGTTATTCTGAACAGGGGCCAAGTGGGCTTGGCACAACAAGTTGGCAGGGAGAAAGGGGACTCTGTGAATTGGTGAAAGGATCCCTGAGGCTAGAACTCAGTTTCCTTGCCCAGTAGGTAAAAATCCAAGCTGAGGGAGGCTAGGGTGATGCTTTCCTCTCTCCTTCTCTTCCCTTCTCCTTGCCTTCCTACCTTTTTTCCCTGCACTGAGAAAGAATAAGATACACAGCTGGGCGCTGTGGCTCACGCCGGTAATTCCAGCACTCTGGGGGGCCGAGGCAGGTGGATCATGAGGTCAGGAGATCGAGACCATCCTGGCCAACATGGTGAAACCCCATCTCTACTAAAAAACACAAAAATTAGCTGGGCATGGTGGCACGCACTAGTAGTCCCAGGTACTTGGGAGGCTGGGGCAGGAGAATTGCCTGAACCCAGGAAGCAGAGATTGCAGTGAGCCAAGATTGTGCCACTGCACTCCAGCCTGGCACCTGGCGACAGAGCGAGACTCTATCTCAAAAAAAAAAAAAAAAAAAAAAAGAATAAGATAGACATCCTGAACAGTGTCACTGTTTGAACACAGGAACAGAAATGCCCAGGAGCTATCAGGCCCCTAGACCTATGAACTCCCTGGCATCTACTTCCGTCTTCCCCCACTTCCATCCCACTAGGAATGAGAGGATATCCCTTCCCTTCGCTCTGGCCCCATTCCTTCCTTCTAGTCAGGACCCCAGCTAGACTGACTGCCCCCTCCTCTAGATCAGCCCTACTACTCTTAGCTCATTCAAGTGTTAGCCTTTAGCACTTAAACACACTCCTACATACAGCTCCTACATACATATATCACACATACACACCCTGCACACACACACCTACACATCCCTACACACACACTGTGCACACACCCTCTGCACACACACATACACATACACATCTTATGTACATGCCCCTCTCAAGACTCCACATCCCCACCTAGCTGCTGTCTTCTCTCTGGCACAGCCAGAGTTTTTGAAAGCCGTCCACACTCACTTCCTACCCACTCCGCCACACTGTCCTCCTTTCCTCCCTAGAGCTTTTCTCAGGGGCACTTGCAGCTTCCCTGTTGCCAGAGCCAGGGGACACTACAGGGCCCTCATTTGCCTTAGTTTCTTGGGGGTGTTCGCACCCATGGCCACTTGTTCCATGCTGAAATGCTGTTTTCCTGTGGCCCTGTGAGCCACACAGGCCTCTCTGGCTGCATCTCTGTGGCCTTCTTTTAAAGGTTTTCCCTTTCCTTGTCCTGGCCCCTTGAATGCTGGTTCTCTCCAGCCCTGCTTTTTTTTTCTCTTGATGACACCTCTCCTAATCTCACTGACACCCACACCTTCACTAAGCTACCTGTTATAACCAATGCCATGCCTCAGCTTCCAAACAGATCTTCCCAGGGCTTCAGACCCTTTCTCCAACTGCATACTAGAAATCTCAACTTGGTTCCATACAATCATTTTGAACATGAAACTCACCTTCTCCTCCCCATCCCAGCCCACCTACCTCCAGCCTTCTCTTCCTGGGTACCCTGTTACATTATTGCTTAAGCCAGAAGCCCAGGCATCGTCTTTGACTCTTCCTCCCTCATAAACCACCATCCGTCAAGTCAGGCCTGTTCCATTCAAGTCTCATAAATAGCTCAAGAGTCTGGCCACTATCTCCACCCTATCCAGACCACCATCATCTCTCACCCAGATTACTTACTGTGTCACTATCTAATCATGACTCTCTCATATTTTTAATCTCTTCTAATTCTTTTTCTATCCTGCAACCACACTGATTTTTTTTTAAATGTAAACTCACTCTCCTACATGAGATTTTTAAGGTATGTTCCAGTGCCCTCAACATAAAGACAGAACCCTGCCCTCTCCCACTGACATTACCACTGCCCTTCCACCTGCCTAAGTAAGTGCTTGTTCCAGACCCTGGCACACAGTATACACTCTGCCTGGAAGGTATTCCAGCCTCACACAACACTTCCCTGTAATTCCCAATCCCCTCTCTCTGCTGATGACACTCAGACTAACTGCCTTTCTGAGGTCCCTCAGTTAAATCCAACAAACATTTGAAAACTTACTAAAGGGATCATCCAGTTCCAGCATCAAATTCTGGTGAGAGTCTCAAAGTCAAGAAGTCAATGTTTAAAAAAAAAAAAAAAAAAAAAAAAGCTAAGGGTATCTGATCTAGAAAACAGCATGAGTTCACAGGTCTTGCATACACATCCAAAACGTGTATACCTTGAAAGGAAATGATACACGTAGAGAAGTACTGCTTCAGTTTTAAATATTGTTACTCTTTCTTCCACATTCCCTGCTCATTTCTTCCTTCTAAATAAGATATGAAATTAAAAACATCACATCCCACTGTGTTCCTCTCACCCAACTCTACAAGAAAGGGGGGAAAAGATTAAATTAGATAAACTAGAAAAATAAGAAAATGGAATGGAAACTACCAATGGAATTATTCATTCCAGCATGATGTAACAGAAAAAAGGCATAGAGTTGGAAGCCAAGAGACCTGGGTTCTATTACTAATCATTTACACAAACTTGCTTTGTAATCCTGGGTCAGTGGCTTGTTCTCTCTGGACCTCAGTTGTATCATCTTCTGTTGACAGTGTTGACTCTCTAAGGTTCTTCTAATGGTCTGTGAAAAAGAGGTTCCGGTAGAGAACTCCCACAATTCTGATTTGGGAGGCAGTAGAGAACAGAAAGGTGCCAGGAATGAATCTTATACCTATAATTTAACTACTTTTAAGTAAAAATTGAAATATTTAATCATTTCTATTGTATCTTAACCTGTGAGCAGAGCTTATAAATTCAACAAGAGTTAACATTTTATCTTGGAACAAATTAACTGAAAGGGTGAAAAATTACTACATGGATTTAAGTGATAAACCTCAGTTTTAATATTCACGTGTACTTTTCAGCTCTTGAAATTTGTTCCTGAAAAAAGTGACATTGACCTGTTGGAGGAACATAAACACGAACTGGATCGGATGGCCAAGGCTGATAGGTTCCTTTTTGAGATGAGCCGGTGAGTTTGAAAGGGCTTAGAATGTGAAGATGTCCCTTCACTTTCTGAGATTCATGAATTTTCAATTCATGTTGAATTGTTCCGGCTAATTAACCTGGCCTAACTTGAAAGCTTTTTCATTCTCAAACTCTTCTCAAGTCTGAGTCATGTGGAATTTGTTTTGTTATGTCAGTTCTTGCCTATGGGTAAGCCAGGGTTGGAGTTTCTTCACAATTATCTCTATTTATGGGCCCCTTTGGCCTAATCAAGTCATAACTTTTTCTGATTCCAGTTAATATCATTCTCCTCACCAGTTTGATTTCTTGGAATAGTGTCTCATACTTTCAAGTAGCTTAGCATGGCAAGGTGGTTGTAAAATAGAATATATATATATATATATGGACAAACTCTGGCAATGTCAGCCTCAAGCCCACATAACTGAACAACCAGGATCTAGATGTCAAATCATGACACATGCAGACATCACTAATCGATCATGGCACTCTTCCCACGGAGCCTTGGCAAGCTCTCTGAACCCTTCTCCAGAAAGCCCTGAGGCAGCCACAGCTTCATAATTGGGTTTGGCATATGAGCTAAGTTGATCTGCCATCTCAGGCCTAGAAAATTGATTCCACATTAGAGAAGGACCAGTGGTCCTGAAATTCTTAGTGAACCTCAGGGCACAGCTTTCTCCCTTAGGGGAGCCGAGAGGATGCTCACTGTGAAAACAGAGGGAGGTTTGCAGGTGGGTGTGAGGACGAGACAATGTGGAAAGGGGATACTGGAGACCAGTTTTTACTTTGGAAAGTTAAGAAATTTGGGAAAGGTATAGGGAACTGTCCTTTATTTGCAGTAGGATGTTCTTTACATTTTTGTTCCCTTTTATCTCTTCTATGCTCAAAAGAGTTTTTCCCGGGACTCTGAGGGAGTGGAAGGGCTTTAGTCAACAGCAGCCGGCTCCCACTTTCTTTTAGCAGTTGGTCTTGATGGAGCTAAGGACTCTGCCGCAGTTGACCAAATAACCCCTGAAGGTCAGACCAAAATGGGCTCTCCAGGCAAAGCTGGCTTATGCCCTGTGCTCCTGTCCATGAGAAGAGCTGATGTCTGTGTGTTGGGGGAGAGGGTGGGTTTTGGGGAGGTGCTAGGTACCCCCACCTCCAAATCCGTTATTAAGTGAACATAGATGTATTAAATGAATATCAATTCGTCCATGTTTGCTCTTACAGAATTAATCACTATCAGCAAAGGTTGCAATCGCTGTACTTCAAAAAGAAGTTTGCAGAGCGTGTGGCAGAAGTGAAACCTAAAGTAGAAGGTAAAGTCAAGCTGCCTCGATTGGAAATGATGTTCATCATTACAGCCCATTCATAAAGTGCAGTCCAAGTGCAGATAGTAAAAAAGATCTTCTTGGTGATTTTTTATTTTATTTTTTGGCTCAAAATCTTTTAAAATTCTGAGGGATGATTACTTCAGGTCAGTGCTTGATGCACTGGCCTAGGCTCAGGAGCTCACAGCACGCCTCCTGGGCTCCTCTACAGGGTTGGGCTTTTGACTACCTGGGTGCTGGTGAGGAATTAATCTCACCACTACTAGCATTAAAGCTGTAATTAGCCTCCTCACAACAGAGTCTTAGTAGATTTTTCAAAGGGAAGAGTGAGGCTGTTGTATGGTTTGATTTTTAAATTTTTTAAATGTTTGAAACGCGAGCAAGGCAACTGAAGAGCACAGCCACAGAATGCAGGCTGGAATCACGCATCTGCTTAAGCTCTGAGCCCTGTTATGACACCTGCAAGCTATAACATGTAACACATTTGACCAGTTTTCTGTCAGTGGAATTGATCAATATTCCTGTTAATCTGACCAACACTGGACAAGTAAGTGTTAGGAAAGAAATATTGGAGATGGGGTTGCTATTCTAGGTATTCCTGAGTACTTACAACCGATGAGTCAGCCAAGAAGGGCCTGAGAAAGGATGGGATTTTGCAGCTGTCTGTGGGTATTGGTAACAACTTGAATGGCTCTCCCCGTCCATGTTCTTTGCTTCTGGTTTAAGTGTTTTGAAAGTGCTCTGGGTAATCCAGTAACTCAGTCTTACATCTTCCATATATGTTATTATGTGTGTGAATTTAGGATGGGTATCACTGAAATGTCTTGATTTCAAACAATGAAACACTTGGTCATCATTGTGTTTTTATGCGTTTTGTTTTGAAGCAATTCGTTCTGGCTCAGAAGAGGTGTTTAGGAGCAGTGCCCTCAAGCAGTTGCTGGAGGTGGTTTTGGCATTTGGAAACTATATGAATAAAGGACAAAGAGGGAATGCCTATGGATTCAAGATATCTAGCCTAAACAAAATTGCTGACACAAAATCCAGCATTGACAAGTAAGCATGGGACCTTCTGACACTTAGGGTAGCCAGGGGCAGAGGTCCAGGCTCACATTTGTCCCCCTCTGGTCCTCCTCAGCCTTCATGACACTGCTGCCTTCAGTTTGAACTTTTCTTTCTCACTACTTTCTTCCCTTCTGTGACACTGAGTCTTCTCTAACCTCTCTCATGACCACAAGTATCTCACACATTCCTGTTGGACCAATTATCCTGCATCCATTCTTGGTCCACAGGGACATCATCTATTCCAAGTTTTGCTGCTGCTTTTGTTTTATCCTGCCTTTAAAAAAATATATTTTTTGTAAACTTTTTATTATAGTATACGAAGTTCACAAAAAATAATGTTGGGCTTGATGATTTTTCACAAATTAAACACACCTGTATACCCAGCGCCCCGATCGAGGACAGAATGTTACCAGCACTCTGGACATCTCCCCACGACTCCTCTACAGAAAACTGTGTTCCACAGAAAAGAAAAAAAAACTGTTAATTGATGATAAATTATGAAGCTTTTTGGATTTTTAGGTTATGTTTTTCTTTTATGCAGTGGATCTATATGAAAAATGTATGATGTATAAATGCATTTTGGCCATTGATATTCAGTTGCTCATTGCAGGACTCATTAAAATGCTTCCTAGAAAGTGTTCAGTGCTGCATTTTAGGTGAACAGATTCTCATTAAAGACATCAAGATGTGAAAACGCTCTTGTGTCATTAACAGTGTAGGGTCATTAGGCATATTAACTCGAGTTTCCCTGAGAGCTTTGTTTCTCTGAGGTTCTCACTGACTTCAAGGGAACTTGCACAATTGTTTCTAAGGTAAGCTTCTTCATACCCAAGTTCTTGTTAGAAATATGGGCTGTTAACCCTAATTACTTCTAACTAATAAGGTCTTGTACCCTATATTTTCTATAGCATTCATGAAGCATAGTGTCCTGGCAATCCTAAATCCATCCTAGAAGAAATAAGCAATGTGTTAATTTGTTGTTTTTGCATCATGTAGAGATAGGTTAATGAAGAGCAGCTGTTGTTACAGCCCTGCCACCTTATTTTTAATGTAAACACTTGATCCTTTTGAGAGCACTTTCACATTTGATTGTCCCAATAGCCTGTGAAGTACACTAGCCAAATACTGTTGTCATATGTTGTCAGAGAAGACACTGACTCAGGGTCAGGTGGCTCATTCAGCTTGCCTATGCAATATATTCGGCCTTACAGGTAGGTATTTGACACCAGTTCTGTTGGTCCAGCACAGCTGTATTAGCAACAGAAGGATCTTATTTGGAGGTTGTAGTAGGGAATGGCAGATCTTATTTGCATCTAAAGAGCAGCTACCTTTTTAAGAAGGGCATTCTCTTCGACTGTACACATATGAAAGCAATCACCCATCCTCAACACTTACCAATAACTAGGCACTTACATGATTATCTGCTTATTTACTGAGGTTACTACAGAATTTACATAATGTACAAGCCTTTTCAAGCTAAAAAGAACAAGCTAAAACTATTTCTGATCTTTTTCCTCTTTTTTTTTCTGCCTTTAATATTTGGTCCCCAAATGCAGCACCCATGCCTTATACACCTGCTTACCTAGCAAAGTGCTTTGCTTGTAAGCAGTCACTCATTAATGTTGCTCAGCTGAATCTAATGAGATGGCGTAGGTAGTGAGACAGTCAGCAGGAAGGGAGCATTCACTCAGCATTGAAGTCTTGGTTAGTAATGACCAGGGAAGACTCAAATGTATGGCTGTTGTTCCTTTTAAAAATTTGTATTCAGTCAGATGAGGTAGTATTTGGACAGCAAACAAATATGGAAGATCAGGCCTGGTTTTAAACCTTTCTATAACAAGAAAGGTGCATATGGTTAATGAAATTGAAATGTCTCTCAAAAAGCAAAGCATTTCTCTAAAAAATGAAGAAAAAAACCTCACTCTTGTCATGGTAGCTGGCATTTGGCTTCCTCCTCACCCCCTTAGATAAGAAGCACATGGGCAGACAGGTAGTTTCTGTCAACAGCAAAACTGAAATGGAAGCCAGAGCAGTGGCTCATGCCTGTAACCCTAGCACTTTCAGAGGCCAAGGCCGGGTGGATCACCTGAGGTCAGGAGTTCATGACCAGCCAGACCAACATGGTGAAGCCCCATCTCAACTAAAAATACAAAAACGTAAGCTGGACATGGTGGTGGGCCCCTGTAATCCCAACTGCTTCAGGAGGCTGGGGCAGGAAAATGGCTTGAACCCAGGGTGTAGAGGTTGCAGTGAGCCAAGATTGTGCCATTGCACTCCAGCCTGGGTAACAAGAGTGAAACTGTCTCAAAAAAAAAAAAAAAAACGCTGGACATGGTGGCTCACGCCTATAATCCCAGCACTTTGGGAGGCTAAGACGGGTGGATCACGAGCTCAGGAGATCGAGACCATCCTGGCTAACATGGTGAAACCCCATCAGCCTGGCCATGGTGGCATGCGCCTGTAGTCTCAGCTACTCAGAGTCAGGAGAATCCCTTGAACTCAGGAGGCCCAGGTTACAGTGAGCTGAGATCATGCCACTGCACTCCAGCCCAGGTGGCAGCGAGACTCCATGTCAAAAAAGAAAAAAAAAACTGAAATGGAAGGATGCAGCTGAACATATGAAAAATAAATGGCCAAAATCATTGGCCACTGTTTTGCTTTGGTGGGCGATTGTTTACTAATTATTGAGAGACTGAGAGTGAGAAAAATAAGGATTTATAGGATCGCATTGTCTCTATGCAACACAAGGGTAACCAGAAATGTTGTTATAGAAAATTGTTTGAAAACTGACTCATTTTGGTTAGAGGTGAGTTGGGAGTATTGGGGCTTAGCATTGTGAATTAGCCAACTGCCTAAATTATGGAAAAATTTTTTAAAGGAATGTATTTTTACACCCCTGATTCTAACTTAAATAGATAAGTAGTTCTTGATCCTCGCTGCTTGATAAAATCAACAGGGAGTTTTAAAGAATGCCCATGTCTGACTCCACCTCATTCCAATTAAATGAATCTCTGGGGTTGGCCCAGGCATCTGGAGTCCAGGTGACTGTAATGTGCAGCAGTCAGTGACGATGGGACCAGATGAACACAGTGTTGCCTAATAGATACTGTTATCCTACACGCCTGCCTTTTCAATCCAGGTCAGTCAGAGTTCAGCCCTGTCACCACCAGAGAGGGAGCTGGCACAACCAACTGTTGTAACTACTAAGAGTTATGCAGTTAGGAGCTGAAGTGTTGCTAAATTAGGAAGTGGATTCAGGGCTGTGAGGATATCACATGATGGCAGTTATGGACCACTTCCAGGTTCAGCCTTGAGAGAGGGGGCTTTCTAACTTTCTGGCCACTCTTTGGTGAAAGCGTATTAAAACGTATAAATAGGCAGACACAGTGGCACATCCTTGTAATCCCAGCACTTTGGGAGGCCAAGGTGGGTGGATCATCTGAAGTCAGGAGTTCAAGACCAGCTTGACCAACATGGTGAAACCCTGTCTCTATTAAAACTATGAAAATTAGCCAGGCGTGGTGGCTGGCGCCTGTAATGCCAGCTACGTGGGAGGCTGAGGCAGGAGAATTGCTTGAACCTGGGAGACAGAGGTTGTGCCACAGCACTCCAGCCTGGGAGACAGAGTGAGACTCCATCTCAAAAATAATAATAATGTCATCAGTGAGTTACTACTTTGTACTTTAGACTAAAGAATAGCTTCCCCTTTCGTGGAATAAACATCCCTCACTCTCTACTCCACCCCATTCCACTCCACCCAAGCCTACTAGTTATAAACCTGCAGGGCACACCCAGTTTTAGGGCGGATCTACTGGGAAGGTGAACGTGAGCTTGCTCCACTGGCAGTGGTCCAGATTCACTTACATCACACATCACGTTACCCAGATTTTGAAAGATGCTTATTATGACCCAAATATGTAATTATTATCCTCTTTTTAGAAATTGTATACTTCTTTTGACATACTTTTATGTAATCCCTCGGAGGCTCTCCCATTATTCCCTTCTCTTGAGAATCCCTGCCTTACATGAACCTCCAAATTTTAAAGTTAATGTAGGTAATATAGCATTATTGTGGGTTCTACAATTTGAGCATATAAATCATATCCAGGTATTAACTATTCGTATATTTATGTACTTTAAAGGAAAATAAACGTTTAATACTCTTCCATTCTTCAATTGTAGGAACATTACCCTTTTGCACTATCTCATCACTATTGTGGAAAATAAGTACCCCAGTGTCTTCAATCTAAATGAAGAATTGCGGGATATTCCTCAAGCTGCGAAAGTAAAGTAAGTACTTAACAGTGAGTGTTAGTTTCTTAAATCATTTGGACTGTGTGTTAGCTCTTGAGGTAGTCAGCACTGTAGAAGTCAGTTCTTCTATTTGTTTTCCCTGAACATTGTATGAAATAAAGTTTGAATCTCATCCAAATCGCTCAAATGTGTTACAAGGATTTGAATATATATTGGTTCTAGTTCCTTTGGAATACCGCATGCAGTTTTTAACTTTCACACTTTTAAAGGGCATGTGTTTTAAATACAGGTAGGAGCATCCTTAGTTAAATAAGATGCATGGCTAAGCAAATAGAGGACCTAAGTGTCAGGGCGTTGCTAATAATTTTCACATATGCACACATACTCCCAGAAACCAAGGCGGCTCTTTAATAGGAAGCAGTCTTTATGCAAATGAGGAAACTAAAAATAAAATGGAAAGTTGCCAAACTTTTACCACAAACTTCACACCACGTTTCAGAGACTGAGAAGCAGGCAATTTTCCTGTTTTTCCGTCCCTCTTTTGGCTGTCTCTTTTTTTGAAACATAAACTGCATCTTTTTGCAGTGAATTTGAAAAGTATAATGAGCAGGCTCATTTTTTCCCTCTGTTCATGGAATCTGGTGGAAATTTACTATATAAGGCATGACATTAAATGAAGTATCAGTGAGTTTTTTTATATGTTTAAATTATCTGGGAGAATTAAGTTTTAATCTCTAATGTTTAAAAGCCATGAAATAGAAACTGTTGTGTATGGGAAAAGCCCAAGAACCTTTCTCTATTAAAAAAAAAAAAAATGAAAACAACTAGTTAATACAACTTTAAGAAAAATCATTGTTTATTGCAACGTAAGTCATTACCTTGTAATATTCATATTATTGGGGCCTTGGTGAAAGGCAGAACACTGATTATGCAGAGTACAATGTGAACATGATTGCAAATGAACCCGCCTTTTTTTATGTTTTCAAAGGAGCCACGTGTGGCAAGAGATTTATTTCTACATGGAGTAATTTGCTGAAGTGAGGGTTTTTTTTTTTTGAGTTTGAAACATAAAATATTTTTGTACAGATCAAAGATATTTCTCTTCTGCTATTTTTAACCTATAAAGTATACCTGCTGGCTACAGAAAACAAGACACATAATTTTATACCTAAATTTCACGAGTTTAAAATACTGTTGTCTTAGAGACCCGAGCATGGCAGGGAATTTTAAACATTTAAATTAAACTAATATGGACTTCCAAGCATGAAATATTTAAACCCAACTTATACTTAATATGTGTAAGTCACATGTTGATTGCTAAAACATTGCTATTTACAACAGCATGACTGAGCTGGACAAAGAAATAAGTACCTTGAGAAGTGGCTTGAAAGCAGTAGAGACAGTGAGTATTTGCTTTTTGTTCTAATTCCTAGTCTCTTCGCTATCTCTAGTGCTGGTGGTCTCCAGCAGATGTGTTGCTGGTTGTCTTGACATGTGGTATGCCCAGGATAAACAGGTATTGATTAAAAAAAAAAAAAGGCCACCACCACCACCAGAAGCAAAGGCAGGTTATGTTCAGCCTGGCAATGTGATTACAGGTAGCACGGGTCATGGGTGAGTCACTGCAGCGAGAACTGGAAACTGGACCTAGCATGCCACCAGTTTATCTGTGAGGCAGATTCATCAGGATGAGTGGGTTGGGCTAGATGAACTTCAGGGACTCTCTCAATTTCCAACTGCTGTTAATATATGGTGTTCACTTTCAGTAGAGCAGTAGAACTTCTCTACTGTTTTTGAGTTGGTCCTCTGGGGAGTATTTACTGAGCAGACACAGCAGTCTATGCTCTAGCCGAGGGTCACGATGACTCAGAATCCTTGTTTTCCAGGTGCTGTAAAAATTGGAGCAACCAATTCCCTCAGCCTGGCCGCAGCCAGATAAGCAGAGCGATTACAGAGGTGCCTTAGGGAAGGCGGCAGGTTGAGGGTGCTTTGGAGGCATGTGGGACAATTGATCCCTATTACAGGGAGCTTCTCTTTTGGAAAAGAGGTTGTTGGAGCTGTGGCTTAGGAGGGTGGGTTATCCCAGGTGCATAGGAGGAAGGTTATCCCAGGCATACAAGACAACCTGGGCCCAGGCCTCCAAGGAAGGAAAACCAGTCAGGCTGGCAGACTGGAGCCAGTAGGATGAAACATGCATGTTGGCACAGTGCCCTGTGGGTACTGTGCAGATGCAGCTGCCAGCGAGAGAGGGGGCAGGGATGAGAACAGACTGGCAGAGCAGCGTCCAGTGACCATGCTCAGAGCACATATTGCTCGGGCCTGCTCAATTACCATAGAAAGTAGTTGAATTCATTAGAGACATACCTTTAATAAAAATTAAAGTCGCAATGTCTAATATTTTTGTTTTCAATAAATTAAGGAGCATGTGAGGTTTTTTTCTTTTTTTTCTTTTCTTTCTTTTTTTTTTTTTTTATGAAGGGGGAAGTATTTTAAAAAATCAACTGATTGAACTTTTTCTCCCAGCCCCAGAGGGTCCATGGTCCTTATGATGGCCCTAAAGCCTGGCTCTGACGCCCGCTTCTTAGCCAGGTCAGAGCAAGGCCTGGTGTGGGGGATTCCAGGGGAATTTTGTGTTGTTGCTTTATTAAAGGATAGTTTTGCTGAAATTGCTCTGTCCATTGGGTCATACACACTGCATCACACTTTCTATGGGAAGGGGGCCCCCACTCCTGGAGATGGACATCGTATTGTAAGAAAATAGCAGGCGGCAGAGGTTGGTCTGGCCAAATATATATGTGTTCTAATTGTGCATTATACAAATTAAGTCTATTGTTAGAAGGCACCAGAGATGAATATTTATAAAATTATACATTAATAAAACAAATGCCTTTCCCGTCCCCACAATGAACACAGATACACTCACTTTCCAGGCCAAAGTACTAGAATCATGGCAATTTCTTCCAGTCAGAGCCAGCTCCATAATTGATGAGTTTTCACTTCCATTATTTCATTTGAGTCTAGTAGTGATGTGGATATTGCTCTCTTTTTTAAAAAAAAATCAAAAAACTGAGGCTCAGAGCAACATACCACGGATAAGAACTAAATTAGTGGTAGAGCTGAGTCAGAACCCATAGCCTGTGACCCCTACTCTCCTGCTTGTGAAGATCTCTGCCAATATAAGAAAATGAGGGAGAATCCAGTTTAAGTCAGTTGACACACAACATAGTTATTACCAAGACTCTGGAGTCAGGCAGCCTGAGTTCAAATTCTGGCTCTGTCACTGGTCAGCGCTACTTCAGGGCGAGTAATATCCCTCCAAACCTTAATTTATGTGTCTGTATAATGGGAATAGTGATGCCTCACTCACAGAGATGTTGTGGCTTTAAATAAGAATGTGCATCTGGCGATGATTAAATTAACATTAGATTTGTATCATCTGTGTTCATTGCTGTGGTTATGGGGAATATGGATAATTAACAAGAGACAACTTCCCCTCTAGGCCTGTTCACAAAAACCATATGGTATGGACAAGAGAAAAATGGTAGAAGATTATGGTGCCAAATGCTACAGCCAAAATTCTACTGACCCATATCCCACAGTTTAAGAAGTAAATAGACTTGGTTGAGAGGGAAAGAAGAAAAAAATCAAGGCACCAGAATTCTGAGCATGGAATATTGACAATCAGAGTCTCTTATTTTCACTCAAAAGCCCTTAGAGTTCAGTTTGCCCCTATTATTTGTTTAACTTCTATTAATTTTATCCACATGCAAATCTGCTTGCTTTCTAAAACCTGAAAGTGAAATCACATAGATGACGTGCTTAGATGATTGGTAAATTGCTATTTGCAAATATGCGTGTGCACATGAGCATAGCTTTGGCATGGTGGGAATAAGGGCAGGGGTGCTACAGTATAATAACAAAATGTTTTAGAACAAGTTTTGATGTGTTTGCCATTCTGATTTATTAAATTTAAGGCATGTGAAATATGAGACAAGGTGTGTCTCATGTCTATATTTGAAGCTGGCATTGACATTATTCATTTCCTGTGTTTAAGGAGCTGGAATATCAGAAGTCTCAGCCCCCACAACCCGGAGATAAGTTTGTGTCTGTTGTCAGCCAGTTCATCACAGTAGCCAGCTTCAGCTTCTCTGATGTTGAAGATCTTCTAGCAGAAGCTAAAGACCTGGTAAGTTTCCCCCTTGCACACTGAGTGTTGTTTGACAGGGCTGGGCTTCATTGTGATACTTTCAGTTATTGTACGGGTAATAGGAGTAAGATCCAGACTTCATGGTACAGGAAATGAAGTGGTAGATAATTACTTTCCAGATTGCATTGTTTTGTATGACATAGGTGTGTTTTCATTTCCAAGACTGTGATTAATCAAAACACACCCTTTATGTCTGACTGGCCTATGTTGCCTTTAGGTTAGACCTTGAAGGCTCTGAGTGTTGGAAGACCAGCAAATACTTTGACAGTTTTCTCTTGGTTGAAATTGGCTTGAAGTACTTATCTCTAGGAACCAGAAAAGACTAGATGAGGAAAACCAAGGGCAGGATCAAACGTGCCATCAGGTGTGACTAAAGCCATATGCCTGGTTACCTCTACGTAATGTGTTCATCTGAGATACAGCCTTGGCGGACAGGATACTCCCTGTGTAAATCTCCGGCAAACTTGCTAAAGGAGATGCATTTTAATTCACAGTCTCATTGCAAGAGGTATTTTTTTAGTAAGACATTTTTATAATTTATGCTATTTCAAAATGTTATGTTCCCTTAGAGGAGAAATTTTTGTTGGTTAATAAGCAAGACCTTTTAGCTCCTCACCGTTACCTCACTCCTCTCTATTTCATGTTGTTTTCTCTTCCAGAATGCATTCACATTCATATACAATATATGTACACTTTCAATATATGAAAGTCTCTCACTTTCTCCCCATTCTTTAAAATGATATTAACACCCTTCCCCACCCCATTGGTTCTTTTCCTCTACTCATCTCTCAGTAGCCACAACACTCTTTTGCTTTGACTTGAGTCTTTTGTTTCGAAACTTCAGTAAATGGATGTTACTTTTCTCTGGTCACCTTTTTGGCTGTAGATATGGATGATTGTTTACGTGAATATACACACATACCAGTTAAAGTTCAGAAGCAGGCAGTTGACATGCATCAGCCTATCTCAACATTAAATCTCCTCTCGAGCCTTATTAAAGAAATGACAATGTATATTCAAATAGCTGCTGTTAGAGGCCCAACCTTTGCTATCCCATAGTGGAAATCAGTCAACTGATGTCAGTAAGCATCATTCAGACCTCCACTGTGAAAGCCCCCATCCATGTTTTCTGTATGCCTTACCACTTTAGATTTGTGCTTCATAAAGGAAGAGATTCCCCCTGTCCTGATATCCCACCTGAGCAATATAGCACCTACTTCATCAAGGGGCTAAAATATTTTTGTGTGTGAATTGGCTGTTGTCAGCTTGTTCATCACAGTAGCCAGTGTCAAGCTTCTCTGATGTTGAAGATCTTCTAGCAGAAGCTAAAGACCTGGTAAATTTGTCCCTTGCACCCTGAGTGGGGTGGGGTGGGGTGGGGTGGGGTGGGGTGGGGTGTGTGTGTGTGTACAGGGTGGAACTTTAATCTGGGTCTGGTTTTCTTTAGATTTCTAAGACTTAAATATACATGACATCATGATCACTAGAATTCCTTGATAAAAAGATCACTCGGGATGGCTTGAAGTACGCGAACTTGAATGTTTTAGAAATCCAGTGCTAGACTGTCTATTGCTATTTTGTTCATTCCAGAACTTTTATAAATTAGCTTATAAAACCATGGAGCAAGCTAAAGCACTATATATGGCGTCTGAAGCATGTTATGTTTTTGCCCAAATAACTCTTTTCTAATAGAATTATTTCCAAATAAGTAAAACATTGAAAACAACTCCTCAATGAAGACAGAAATGGTAAAAAGGACACTTTTATTATAAATTTAAACATATGAAATAGTGACTGTAAAATATATATAAATAAATATCAGCCAGAACTTGTTTTATTTAAAAATGAATGTTGAAAATATTTTAAGGTAGATAGTATTACTGAAATATCAGACCCTAACAATATAACAAAGGCAAATAAACCAATAAAAAATAAAACCAACTATAAACTGTCTGGGGGTACTGCATAAACACAGCATTGTCTAAATAAGAAAGAAAACTTAAAATCTGGATAATGTTAAGTAATTGATTGGGCATTGACGTTGAAGCTAGGAACACTATCCTTAGTAGCTTAGGAGCAATAGTATTAGATCCTTACAGAAGGAAGTATAATTTCAACAATATGACTGCCATTGAATATTATTTGGGCAGTTATAATTCTGCTAAGAGTATTGAAAACATACTATCTTGAGTTATGAAGATAAGTCCTGGAAGAACTAAAGGGAAACAGGGAATACTGTTGTTACTGTATACATATATTTTTATCCAATTACATGTATTTCTTCCTTGGTATTCTGCATTTTGGCTATTTAAAATGATTGACACTGGGGCATGGTGGCATGTACCTGTAGTCCCAACTACTCAGGAGGCTGTGGCAGGAGAATCACTTGTGCCTGGGAGTTTGAGTCCACCCTGGGAACTGTAACATTGCAATGCCCCATATCTTTTAAAAATAAAAATAAAAAAGATTGGCATTGAAAGGGGTTCTAAAACAAAAAATTTGGAATATAATTATATTCTCTGTCATATATTTTGGGTTGCATTAAAGATTCCATACTCAGTTACTGTTTTATCATAAGACCCAGAAAATAACCGAACAATAGCAGCAGCATTTATGATAAGGAAAAGCAGCTAAGAGGCACTGGCTCCCATTTGCTTTCTATATTTACCATATGGCACCAGTAAATGATATTATACTACTTCAAAGAAAAGTTAAAAGTACAAGTTTCCCTACCCCTGCTGAGTTTGCTATTAGTTTTATGTCTTGGGTGCTGTGCCCCACAACATTTTGTTTTTACTGTTGTTAATAAAAAGTCATAGGAGGTCATCATAGATGTTAAGCTTAAATGAGGTAGACAGGAATAAATAATTTAAAAAGCTGAGGAGTATTAAAGTTTTTACTTTAGAAATGATTAATAGACATGTTCAGCAGCTGAAGATAAATATAGGCTCACTAAAATCCATAGAGTTATATTTGATTCAGCCGGATGTGGTGGCACGTGCCTATAGTCCCAGCTATTCATGAGGTTTAAGAGGGAGGATCGTGCAGGAGTTTGAGGCTGTAATTTTCTGCGATCATACCTTTGAAGAGCCGCTGAACTCCAGTCTGGATAACATAAAAGACCCCATCTATTTAAAAAAAAAAAGAAACCCACTGACATCCCAAGGTGGGCAGATCACCTGAAGTCAGGAGTTTGAGACCAGCCTGGCCAACATGGTAAAGCCCTGTCTCTACTAAAAATACAAAACTTAGTCGAGCATGGTGGTGTGCATCTGTAATCCCAGCTACTTGGGTGGCTGAGGCAGGAGAATCGCTTGAACCCAAGAAGCAGAGGTTGCAGTGAACTGAGATCACACCACTTCACTCCAGCCTGGATGACAGCAAAACTCCATCTCCAAAAAACTAAATACATAAAAGTAAACAAGTAAACAAAATGTATGTTTGACTTAATCTGGGCTTTAGTCTTTCTAATGTTATTTATATTCAATTACGGAATTCTCATAAAACACTGACTTCTGAAAACCATCTTTTTTCTAGTTTACTAAAGCAGTGAAGCACTTTGGGGAAGAGGCTGGCAAAATACAACCAGATGAGTTCTTTGGCATATTTGATCAATTTCTTCAAGCTGTGTCAGAAGCCAAACAAGAAAATGAAAATATGAGAAAGAGGAAGGAGGAAGAAGAGCGTCGAGCTCGCATGGAAGCTCAGGTGAGAGGATGATTAATTCACCAATTCCACCTCCTAGAAATTCTATGGCTGCAGCCCAGCTTCAAAGGTATTTAGAGAGCACTCTGACCTGTTGGCAAGAAGGATGCCTTCAATGTACTCTCTAGAATTCTGTGGGACTTTAAATTGGTGTTCTTTCTCTTGGACAACAATTTAACAGTATATATTCAAAGCCTTAAAAAAAAATCTATCCACATCCTTTGCTCTGGAATTTCATTTCTTAGAAATTATTTTAAAGAAATAATCACAAATTTGCACAAAAAAAGAGGCAGCATTCTTTAAAATAGCCCCAAACGAAAGACAACCTAAATGTTTACCAATAGGGCGTGAGTTTTAAATTATATAACAGCTACATAATGGAATATTTATGCAGTCCTTAAAAGACATGTATTCAAAGAATATGTAATGATACATAAAAGTTTACATAGTGATGTCTACATGAAATCTTTTTGTTTTTTAAGATGTGTTAATACATACAGAAAATAATAGTGGTGTGAGAAACCTCTAAAAAGTTTACAGTAGAATTAAAGATGTTTCCCCCACCTTTTATCTGAATTATCCAAATTGTCTACAATGTGTATGTATTAGTTGGCTTTTAATAACAGTAACTGTTGTGTGTCAGGTTTCAGGCTCCCACAGAAGACACAAGCTAAGCCTTTGATGTAAGGAAAATGACCTGATGACCATTTGCTTTAGTCATTTGGAGTCTGTGTAATAGTGATACTTTTTTTCTCCATTAGCAAAAATACAGATTGCCTCAATTGCTCTCTTTTTAACTAGAATATCATGCAGTTTACCTAGAATCTAGGTGGTGGTTATTTTGTGGTGGTGGTTATTGCTTCCATAATGGAGACCCCAGGTTCCAATTACCCCTTTCTTGTGACATCCAAAGGGGTTATAGGATGAGCACAGCTTGGTGTCTGGAGCATTACCGTATTTCACAGAATTCATCTCTACGAATACAAAATGCCACATTTTGACCTGTCTCTAAGAAGTTGTTTCTTTCTATTTGCAGCTCAAAGAACAACGTGAAAGGGAACGTAAAATGAGAAAAGCTAAAGAGAATAGTGAAGAAAGCGGAGAGTTTGATGACCTTGTTTCAGCTTTACGCTCAGGAGAAGTGTTTGACAAAGACCTTTCTAAATTGAAAAGGAATCGCAAACGCATTACCAACCAGCTGGCTGACAGCAGCAGAGAGAGACCAGTCACAAAACTTAATTTCTAATTTTCCACGAATACTTTTTTTAGAAAGCTCATTAGCAGCCCTCTAAAGTGACTAGAACGTTTCATTACACTGCCTTGCAATCCAAACAGTGGCAATTTTTTCCTTCATCTGTGAGTGAATGCGTGAATGAATGTATGTGTATGTAAATGTATGTGTGTATATATTAAAAAATGTATATAGATGTCCGAGTGTTGTCTGGCGACCTATATGTATGGTTAAAAAGATACGTTAACGTATGTGCTCCGAAACCTTTCGTGTATGCATTCACATTGAGTGTGGCTCATTTTCTTTCCCTGGACACCATGACTGTTCAGAAGCACAATACTATCTCCTGAAAGAGATGACAGAGACATTCCCTAGATTCAAAGACAAAACAGAAGAAAACAAAACAAAAAAAAGCTTGCAAGATATTTTATGGTTTCCAAGCTTGATATCCTTTGAAATTATTTTCATTGATGGAACTGAAGTTGGAAAAATATAGATTTAAAATGGTTTTTGATAGCTGACAATGTAATGCTGATGCATCACATCAGTAATAGGATGGGCTTAGAATTTCTGACACTGGTGTGGGGATACAGTCTATAAATGTTTATTGAGAACATCTTGCACACAATTTGAATTATGTAGAATGTCAACCCGAAATTTTTGTATATTTCAAAGTTGGACATCAGTTTTTCCCTTAATTTCATCAAGTTATCTCTGCCAAGTGCTCTTGATAATTTCTTCAGATTTTTTGAAAAAACACTATAAATGCAAACCATGCTTTTCTTAAAGAACAACATTGCCAGAGTTTGCTTGTTCTAACAATATAGATATATAAACCTTAAAAATATCTCACCCAAGACTTAAAGGAAGAATTCTCTGAAAGGATAAAGATTACTAAAAAAAAATTTTTTTTAATGGGGTGCCTTTTTGTTATAGTTTCTATTTTCTGTTTTGTGGGACAAGCTGCATTTTCTGTAAATATAGGTCTGGACTAAAGGACACATAAAGAATGCACAAAATGTCAACATCAGCAGAGATGCCCAGATCTATTTATCTCTAAGTATATTTGTAGTGATTGCTGTTTATGTGTTGTCATTTTAAAATTGTGTGTCAGTAAAGCTACCTGTAAAATTTCAGTCCAAAAAAAATAAAGCTCTCAGGGAGACATGAATAAAAACAACATTAGAAAATATAGATGCTTACCATTAACCTACCAACTCTTAATATCCTTAAATTATATGATATATAAAGAGGACTGTTATTTTTTTTTTTCTTTTTGCTTTATTTATTTGTAGTTGGGGATGGGGCTAACGTTTTCTCTTTTCTTTCTATCAATCCTGTTGTGGTTGGGTTTCCTGTGGAGAGAGTAGTTTGTCCTGTTGCACTAGAACATTATTTACTCACTAAATTGAGTTTTTTGTCAATTAACAAATATTTATTAAGTACCTACTATGTACCAGGCATAGTAAGGCTACAATGGTAAGCAAGACAGAGTCCCTGCCCTCAAAGAGCTTACGTTCTAATGGGGTTATTAAGGGATGAATAAAATACCAATGTGTGCACTGTACAGGAATCATACTATTTAAAAATAATTTGTATAAACTATAATGCTTAGCACAGATGGCAAGGTATCTGCGCTATGTGAAAGCTGTGAAATAGTGCTCTAAGAGTTGTCAAGAGCTGTGGTTTTACATCTTTTCCTCATTGCAAATTTAGTGACTTTCTACACATTATATGGAAGTAAGTGACTGGCAAATAAAACAGTCATAAATACAAAGCAAAGGTTGCACTCCCCCAATCCCGACTTAGCCCAGGTCTGCAATAACACCATGTTAAAGGTGCAGATAGAGACTTGGCTCAAAAAGGCTTGGAGATGAGGAAGATTGGAATATAATGAAGGTTTTGTCTGTTCCTTAACTAAAGTGCCTCTATGTATATTCTTTTCTATTTGTAGCAGGAGAAATTTGGTGTGGCTCAATTTTGGAACTGTATTTTGAAAATGGCTTTGTCTTACAGCTTAAGGAATAGACAGGTGGAGGGAAAGTCACATAAAGGAGCAAGTTTGTGTAGCATGTCCCTCTTGCCCCTTTTAATCATCCTTCTTTGATATGGCCATCCTGGTGGGCCTCCTTTGCCATTTCCATTTTTGGTTTCTTTCCCAGAAAACTGTGTGCAGGTAATTCCATGTGCCATTATTGAAAAAAAAAAAAAAAAAAAAACTTTTTAGATTGGTGCTGGTGTAAGTAGCCACTTTTCTCTCTTGGGTGTGTATTTTAAAGTTGTTTTTTTTTTAAATTAATGCCAAAAAGCAAATGCATACTTTGTAAACTTAATTATATGTCTTGTATCTTATTAGCTTAGTAGTTGGAACCACTTAGTCTTTAGGTGCAAGACTGTTGTTAGGTAGTACTGAGAAAAAAAATGTATGTGTTATGAGACTGTACATTTTTTTAAAAAGCAATATGCAATAAAGAGATGAACTCATTGGGTGTACATACATGCTTTCTATGAATTATTAAAACAGTGTCATCAAACTTCTTTGCAGTTTCCACCATTGAATTTCAGTTTTACAAATTGTTCACTGAATCAGAACTATATATGTGTTTTTAAGCCTGTACTTACTAGACCTAGAAGAATACAGTTTTCTATTATGGCAACATTCAATATGCTCAGGTTATATGTCACCGCCTTCTATACTTGGTTTCTGTATGAGTTATACAATTTCATGTTATAGCTCATGTATAGTAGGGCTACAGGTGAAATTATTTAACTGTAGTAGAGAAAATAATCTCTGGTCTCCAGAATCAAAACCCGTTTTGGTTTGAGGCATTTTTTCTTATTAAAAATTAATTTGTTATAGGTCAGTGTGGGAAATGGCACCTGTACAGATCAAGAAATTTGTTTTATCAGTATCCTCTGAAAGTTGAAGCTTTCCCTTTGTCCTACATCACTTTTGCTGCCTAGCCACCCTTAGCTCAATTTAAGGTCAAGCTGGAAACAAACTGCTCCAGTCGTTGATAGAATACCCAAGCAGTGCATGCACTGCTTGGTATTTTAAGATAATTCTTACCATCTCTGGAATGAACTCCTCATGATGTTCTTGTAATAGCTGAACGTCTTTTTTTTTTTTTATCAACTCACTGAATAACTGCATAGTAACAACATTCTGTGGAGCTGACATTCAGATAAGAGAGATACTCTTCTGCATGTTAGGCAAATGTTATATTCTAACCCACAAGCTGAGCCACTGCCTATTTGTATATTCAAGTATGGAATTATATACAGAACCACCTAGATCCTCAGTTGACCTTGGTGTATTAATAGAAAGGGAGGGAAATGTGAAATTTTCAGATCATATGCTTCAATGTCTTCAGTTTCCCCCAAAAAATTATCATTGAAGGAAATGTGCTTCTGACAGAGGGGTGAAGTTCTGAGATCCATCCAGAATATTGCCCCTTTTCTATAGCCTAATGTGGGTTTTTTGTTAGGCAAGGGGATATTTATTAAAATACTGTAGTTTAGACACAATTACAGTCATGTGTCTTTTAACAAGGACACATTCTGAGAAATTTTGCCAATAGGTGATTTCATTGTTGTGCATACATCACAGAGTGTACTTATGTAAATCTAGATAGCATAGCCTACACACCTAGGCTATATGGTATAGCCTATTACTTCTAGGCTACAAACCTGCACAGCATGTTACTGCACTGAATAGTGTAGGTAATTGTAACAATGGTATTTGTGTACCTAAACATATCTAAATATAGAAAAGATACAGTAAAAATACCACATAAAACATTTAAGATGGTGCACGTATATGGGATACTTACCATGAATGGAGCCTGCAGAACTGGAAGTTGCTCCAGGTTAGTGAGTGGTGAGTGAATGCGAAGTCCTAGGACATTACACTATTATAGGCTTTATCAACATTGCACATTCTAGGCTACACTATTTTTTTAATTCTTTAATAAAACCTAGCTTACTATAACTTTTATTAACAGTGTTTTGTAATAACTTTAAATGCATATAGCTGTATAAAAGTATTAATGTTTACATTCTCAGTTTTCAGTTTTTGATTTTTTTAACTTCTTAAACTTTTTTTTTTGTTAAAACTAAGACACATTAGCCTATGCCTGCATGGGGTCAGGATCATCAATATGACTGTCTTCACCTACGTATCTTGTCCCACTGGAAGGCTTCAGGAGCAATAACCCACATGGAGCTGTCATTCATGATAGCAATGCCTTCTGGAGTACCTCCTGAAGGGCCTGCCTGAGGTTGTTTTACAGTTAACTTTTGTTTGTCCTTAGTAATACTCACTTATCAAGTATTATGTACTGTTCATGTGGATGTGCTATAGTTTTATACAATGGGTAGCTCAGTAGCTTGCTTCATACCAGCATCACCTCAAACACTTGATCGATGCATTGCCCTACAATGCTACTAGGGGATAGGGAATTTTTCAGCTCCATAATAATTTTATGGGATCACTGCCATATATGTGGTTCATGGTTGATTAAAATGTTGCTATGTGATGCATTACTGTGTTCAAAAGGCTGCGTTCTGGAAGGGAAAACTTTTTTTTTTAACACCATCAGCTGTTTCCTATCAAGTGGAAAACCTAATTGACAACTTCCAAGGCTTAACAGCTACTTGATACTATTTAGTTCCATAGACAATATCTTTGAGAACCACTGGACTGTGTGGAGAGAAAGTCAGGGGTCTAGAGCTTCTCACATGCAGTGTTTATAACAACAATCACTATGTCGAGTTATGTGCTTATTTTCTGTGTGGTCTAGATACTGTTTTAAGTCTGTATCCCTGTTACCCCTATTGATATTAACTCAAGTCTAAAAACCTGTTGAGTCCATAATTAAGAGATGACTTAAAATCTGTGAATTCTTCTAAATGTTTTTAGAGACAGTGCCTCACTATATTCCCCAGGCTGTTAGATTCCTGGCTTCAAGCAATCCTCCTACCTTGGCCTCCCAAAGTGCTGGAATTACAGGCGTGAGCCATCGCGTCCAGCCTATGAATGCTTTATGTTTGAAAAAGTTTGGAGGAACAAGTTTCTTGTTTATAAGGATTTTGTGTTTTCCATAGCAAATACCAATCAGAATTATTTATCTGACTCCTGTGGAAAATGTCAGACGTGCCCTTTGGTCTCTTCCCTAACATGCTTTTATTTTATCTATTGCAATCAACTACATGTTTCCATGGTATCAAACAAATGAGCACAGGACTGCACCCGTGAGTTTTCAGACAAAGGAGATCCTTATTTGTATCAAACCTTAATGTGTGGAAAAAGAGGTTCCTAAGTATGATTTTTTTTTTTTTTCATTTCACTTGAATAAAGTGTTTTCTCTGATTCTCTTGCTTCTTTTGCTGGGAGAAGAAAGAAAGGAAATGGTTTAATGGTACTGATTTTAGTACCATTTCATTTGCACCTATTATGGTCATATGAGGACAATTCTGTGGCAAAGGGATCTGCAATCCCTTATGTAATCATGAGCATTTATTGTTAATATCCTCACTCTCCCTTCCAGTGTAGAGAACCTTTCCTAAATCTAATCAGGTTGGGATTATGCTGACTCTTCTAGGATGGGAGGAGGTGCCTGAAGAGGAGATGATAGTGATGCTGAGCAATGACTCCAGAAGACACACACGGGAGGAGAGGAGTGACTACCAGCAGCTTAGGAAAATCAGTTTGCAGGATACAAGGTTAATACGTAAAAAGTCTATTGTTTTCCTATCTACCAGCAAAGAAAAAGTAGAATTCAAATTAAACAATACCATTCATATGAGCACACCCCAAAAATGAAATACCTAGGTATAAATCTAACAAAATATATACAAGATCTATATAAGGAAAACAACAAACCTCTGATAGAAGAAATCAAGGAAGAGACAAATATATGGTGAGATAGTTCATATTCATGGATAGGAAGATTTGATATTGTCAAGATCTTTTCAACTTAATCTATAGATTCAATGCAATTCCAATAAAATCCCAGCATTTACTTCGTTTTTATTGATAAACTGATTCTAAAGTTTATATAAATAGGCAAAAGATACAGAATAGCCAACACAATATCGAAGGAAAAGAACAAAGTTGGAGAACTTACTCTACCCTACTTCAAGATATACTATAAAGCTATAGTACTCAAGACAGTGTAATGATCAAAAAAATAGACTAATAAAATAACTTACAAATAGAACCACGTGAATATAGTTAATTGATTTTTGCCAAAGGAGCAACAGTAAGACTGAAGAAGAAAAATTAACAAAAATAAAATTAGTGCACCAAAGAGAAGCAGAAATTAAATTTTTATCTCATAAGCAAACTTCCTTGAGTCTGTCCCCCTCCCATGGAATTGCATCCTGCTTTGCAAGTTTTGTAAGTTTATAAATTCCTATATTCTTGTTTTCTATAGCTGATAACTAAGTTTCTGTCACACAGCGAAGGTCAGAAGAAATGCCCAACCAGGCAGGACTCCAGCCTTCTGGGGCTCTGTAGCAGAAGGCAACAGATAAGGCCTGTGCTAGAATCCTTAAGCTCTACAGACAGCAAACATCTGGGTTGCAGAGCAATGTCATATGTAAGCCTAAGTTAGGTGCCTATCATTGCTTATACATTGCCTTTGTTCTACACCTGCAAACTTGTTTTAGCGCCACTGTGTACTTCACGTATAAAAAGTCAAGCCCTGCCTTTGTTAGGGGCTCAGCCATTTTGTTTCTGGGATGGGCTGGTATACACCTAAAACAAACTCTTTCTGCAACCTCAACAGTCTCTCCAGTCTCTGAAATTCTGCAGCAAGACAATGGAGCAAATAGAGTCTTTTCAAAAATTAATGCTGGAGCAACTGAACATCTATATGCAAAAACAATAAAGCTAGGCAAAGACCTCATATTTTGTTGCAAAAAAATTATTCAAAATGGATCACAGACTCAAATATAAAACAAAATGATAAAACTCCTGGAGATAAGAGAAAATTGACAATTTAGATAACATTGCATTTGGCAATGACTTTTTAGATGCAACACCAAATGTGCAATCCATGAAAGAAAGAATGGATAAGCTGGACTTCATTAAAATTAAACTTTATGGTCTGCAAAAGACACATTCAAGAAAATGATAAGACAAGCCACAGACTGCAGAAAAATATTTGCTAAAGACATACCAGGTAAAGGACTGTCATCAAAAATATGCAAAAAAAAACTCTTAAAACTCAACAATAAGAACACAACTCAATTTTTAAAAATGGGCTAAAGATCTGAACTGCCTCCTCACCAAAGAAGATATACAGATGGCAAATAAGCATATGAAAAAATTCGCCACATTATATGCCATCAAAGAAAGGCAAATTAAAACAACAACAAGATATTGCTACACGTTCATTAGAGCGGCCAAAACCCAGTACACTGATGACACTAAACACCAGCGAGGATGTGGAGCAACAGGAACTCTCATTCATTACCAGTAAGAATGC